CCTGGGGCTCACTGTGTCATTTTGCTTTAAATTAACCCAGAGTTTTTACTCCTGGCAACACTAATGGGGAACTATGGAATTTGAATGGATTTTTAAGTTCTGGGTAGTTGGGAGAGCTTCGTGAAAGGAAATTGTGTGAAACAACCACAAGATGGCGGCACTGTACACTCATTTCTAGAATGGAAATGCCTTCTGTGGAATTTGAAAGACTTCCAGGAATTCCTTGGCCCTCTTCTCAATCGCGGAAAGAACCCTTGCAACAGCCTTTGGTAACAAGTTACACATATATGCAATATTTATTTCCACAGACTCAGAAGAATGAAAAGCATCCAAGGAAGATCCTCGAGCTCAGCATTACTTGTCATTTTGGTTGCAGTTTGTGAAGCCCACAGGAATTAGGATTATAGGGTAAACATTTTGTTCAGCCAGTGCCGTTTGAGTTCGGAATCTGAGCCTGAGGGATGTTTGATCTTACCCGTGCCTGTGATCATATCTGTTATTTATGAGCGAATAGCATGGTGCTTGCTTAATCTTACATGTGTCAACTTGTAGAACCTTCATAACAGAATTTGGAGGTGAGGTTTGTATGGCTCATTTTGCAGACATGGTTCAGTGATAGAGATGTCTGTATGCTCTATATCCCTCATCTGCCCCATCCACGATCTTGGGACTTTATTCATGTTTTCCAGACTAATACTGCATTGAAGAATAAATTATCTGGCACAATGCTGCAGAGAGCTGTCTATAATTAGCAATCCTCAACACTCAAAAACAAGCCAAACTTACAAAATTGGATGGCACTCACACACCTGCTGCCTTTGCCCTTGAAGATTGTATTTTGGTTTTGTTCCCAAGGAACAAAAAGAGTCCTAAGGGACTCTATCCTTAGGTTCTAAAGCTATCCTGGAAACAGCACGTGGGATTATAAAATATTCATCTGATAATCTCTGTCTTCTATCTGCAAGGCTTAGTCCATTTGCATTTATTTTGATTCCTGATACATTATTTTTTAAAAAAGATTATTTATTTATTTATGATAGAGAAAGAGGGTGTGAGCAAGAATACAAGTTGGGGTGGGGAGCAGAGGTACAAGCAGACTTTTCGCTGAGCAGGGAGCCCAATGTGGGACTCATTGTGGGACTCAATGTGGCACTTGATCCCAGAACCCTGGGATCACGATCTGAGCCGAAGACAGATGCTCAGCCACTGAGCTGCCCAGGTACTCCCTACTATATTCTTTTTCTATCATCTCACACACTTTATATTCATTGTGTTGTTTTTTGTTGCTTTGCTTTCTTCCTCCTCTTTCTTGGAGGTACTATTAACCGAAGATTACTTTAAATTAAAATTTTCCATTTCAGGTTTCTGGAATGCACAATTTGTGTGGGAATTTAGGTCCTCTGTGTGAGGGTTGCCTGGTGGATATAAATTCTCAGGGGAGATTTTTTTTCTCTTCACTTTCTGCCAAGATCCAAAGAGACAAATGTCCCTTTCTGCAATGTGGGTTTGTTTCCTATTATCCCTTACAGGAACTCTGATGTCCCAGCTTTGGGTGGAGCTCTACAGAGTTTACTGGGTTGAGGGTCACCAGCATGGTGGACCCTGTGGTTACCTGGCCTAGCTCTCCCTACTGGCTAGTGCATCACTCCCCAGTTTCTGTGAGTATGCAAGTCAGGTGAAGGAGTATGCAAGTCGCCCTTGATCCTCACCAAAGTTGTATTCCTACTTATCCGAGTCTGTGTACAGTGGAGTTCTTTTTTTTTTTTAAGATTGTATTTATTTATTCATGAGATACACACACACAGAGGAGAGACATAGGCAGAGGAAGAAGCAAGCTCGTTGCAAGGAGCCTGATGCAGGACTCGATCCCAAGACCCTGGGGATCATGATTTGAGCTGAAGGCAGACATTCAACCACTGAGCCACCCAGGCACCCCAACAGTGGAGTTCTTTATGGACATTGAGTGTGTTGATTATTAGAAATGAAAAGATCTGACTGCAAAAATAGCCTTTGACAGAGAAAATCCAGTGTCTGTATCATTTTCTCCCAATGAGAAATGCACAAACTAGGGTAATATCAGTAAAGACATTGGGTAGTTCTCTGGATAAATTTTTTTTTCTGGATAAATTGTTAAATAGAGTTTATATTTCAAATCACTTTTAGGTGAGCTGAGGAAAGAAAGAAGGAGAGAGAGAGAGAGAGGGACAGAAAAGGAAGGCAGGAGAGAGGAAAGAAGAAACTGTGATCTTCATGCCTGATGGCTCCTGGATAGGCTGAATAGCTAAGTGGTGAGGTGGAATGAGCTGGTGGGTCAAACCCAAGAATGCAGATATGATGGGACTGCTTTCTAATAACATGTCCCAGCTCTACAGCCACACCACAGCAACACCCTTCCCCTCTTATCCATGCATTCTTCCTCTACCTGTCTCTCTGGTTCACTGGAAGTTTTCTGTTGCGTAAGGGTCCTGGGAGCCACCATAAACTAATTCTCCGATGGACATTTCTTGAAAAATCTTTAGAGTCGTCTTGAGAGAGTTCTCACAACTATTTGAATTGGGAAATGTCCTGTTAAAATATGTCCACAAATCCTTGATAACCCCCTTCAAGAGATGGAGCCTAGTTCTCCTTCCTGTGAGTGTGAGCTATACTTAGTTACTGAGTTCTAGTGGATAGAAAGTGGTAGGATTGATGGTGTAACTTCTGAGACTGGGTAATAAAAGGCATGTGGCTTTCCCTTTGTGTTCTCTCTCTCTCTCTCTCTCTCATCACTTGCTGTGGGGGAGACCAAGATCTTTTAGTCCCAGTCTAATCCTCCAGTGCCTGTAGCCCCACCTGAGATCTAGAGCAATACCGAGAACCAGCAAAGCCACTACCAAATTGTTGGCCCACAGAAACTGTGTGAGATAATCTTTCTTTCTTTTCTTTCTTCTTTCTTTCTTTTCTTTCTTTCTTTTTCTTTCTTTCTTTCTTTCTTTCTTTCTTTCTTTCCTTTCTTTTTCTTTCTTCTTTCTTTCTTTTTCTTTCTTTCTTCTCTCTCTCCTCTCTCTCTCTCTCTCTTTCTTTCATTTTATTTATTTATTTGACAGAGTGAGAGAGCACAAGCAGGGGGAGCAGCAGGCAGAGAGGGAGAAGCAGGCTCCCCACTGAGCAGGGAGCCTGATGCGTGGGGCTCGATCCCAGGCCCCTGGCAGACGCTGAACCACTGAGCCACCCAGGCGCTCCTCAGTGTTTATTTCTTTAAGCTGTTAAATTTTGAGAATAATCTGTTGTGCAGAAATAGACAACAAAGACATTCCCTCACATAAAATTGTGCATCAACAGAACAGGATAATGTGTTTGTGTCTATGGTGGGTGTTGAGGCATTTTGGTAGCCATCAGAAGTCTGATAGTGATCACAAGGAGGCTGATGACTCAGGCCTCTCTTGTTCCCCACCCCAGGGACTGGCATTACCCAGGCAGGTGGTCTTGAAGGCCACGTGTCACATGGTGACCATTTTTGGGCCTCTTGGTTGGGTAGGTTATCTGGATCCCCATGTCAGGGCATCAGGCAGGTAAGCTCAGGGCCAAGGTGTGTCCTCCCAGAAGAAGACATGACCCACAAGAGTTCTGTATTGGGGGTCAGACCTTAGTTCCACGCACAGGAGGCACCTGCAGCATTTTCTTTAGCCTCGCCTGGAGATGGACAGGGGGCAAAAGAACCGGTCTGTTTCTCCTGGTCATGTGTTCCCATTCCCAATCCATTCTAGGTCATGTGTGAAGTGCTGGTGCTGGGGTGAGAAGGGGAAGGAATTGAAGGGGGACCTGAGAATTATTTTAATTCATAACTTATGAAATTTCTATAAAATATCCATCTCCCCACCAGGACTTTGTCTGACTTTCAGGGTGTAGGGGATTTTCCTGAGAACCCCTGGGGCCATGGTTGGGAGGTGGGCAGGGGAGAAGACTCCCTTTAGGACACTCAGAGACATGGCACGAGATGATTCTAAAGTTATATTGCTCCCTGGAATCTGGGAACACGGGGCAGAGGAGAGGAGGACACCACCTATAGGACACCTGCACCGTCAGAGTCCTAGACAGTGACTCACATGCTGCTGAGCCTTTGTCCTTATTGCCAAGGCCCTCACAATGTCTGGCCTCCCTGGCTTGTGCCCCCCAGGAGACGTTCTGCATCGACCCATGCCATGACACTAGTTGAACATAGAATTGCCGGAGACAAGGCTCTGCATTGCACCCTTTGCAAACCCCTCAGAGAAACCGTCTTCAACATTCCTTACACAAGAAGCAGACTATTAAATTCCTTTTTGATCTGGTATTTGAGAAGGATTTTTCTGCCCTGGGCAATCTAAATTGTCTTCAATTAGAAGAAACACTTGCTCCTTGCCTTGCTGCTAGAAGACACCAGTGTGTTTTTTTGCTGCTTAATGGCATCAGCTCCCCTCAGGCTGGGTTCCGGAGGATAATCATCTTCCTACTCACAATGGCTGGACTTTGGTTCACCACCTTTATTTTCAGTGGCTTCTTGTACCTTTTATTTCAACTACTTCATCTCCTTTGGATAGAGGCCATAGTTAGGAACATGGACTCCTCTGTATCTTCTTCCCAGTTAATAAGATGAACAGAAACCAGTGTCCTGAATGGGTGCCATGAGAAAAGTCTATGGTGGTGGTCATGGCCTTCTCCTTCCTCCCAAAGTCTGGAGCTGAGGGAACCATGGTGAGTCCAAGGTCCAGAGCTGCCTGAACCAAGATACTGGGAAGAGGGCAGTGTATGGGGAGTGGGGAGACTCAGCCCCCCTAAAGAGTGGATGAAACCATTGTCCGAATGTTGTGGTAGCCAACAAGTGCCTAAGACTAAGTAATCAAACTTTTCACATTCAATGAGAAGAGAGAGAATATGCATGTGTGGAAGAAAAGAGAGGAAGAGAGAATATTGTTTTGGGTGTGTGAGCTGGTGGGGCCGAAGGATCAGCCCCAGGATGGTGTTTGTGTGAGTCCCAGCTGTCAGTGGGGAGATCTCTGAGCACTCTTTCCAGAGGCTGACCTCCAAGGATGAGTCTGAGGCCGAGCGTGGCCAGAATCTGGTCTGAAGCCAGTAGGCCGAGCTACAGACAGGCACCGGGAGGCAGGCAGCATGGTCCCACTGGCAGAACCGAAGGTCCCAGGATCCTCGGCCTTCTTGTCTGGGGTCTGGGTTTGGCTGGCAGAGTGAGGCGTCATCCCTGGAAAAGGAAGCAAGATAAGAATGAGGATGCGGGAGAACTTGTCTCGGTTGCCTATGGAACTGGAGCCCTCCGGAGCCGGCCCACTTGGTGTGTGGATTCCAGTCCCATGTGGAAATGTGAGAATGGTTAGATGGTCCTCAGGCCTAAACACATCTGCTGGAGGAACATACTCTACTGGCTGGAGAGCTAGATTTTAGAATGCTGCCCTTAAACTGGACTCTGCGAGCCTGGCTTTTCTGGAGTATTAAAGTTGGGACAACAGTACAAGTCTCCTAGATGGCTTCCAGGGTCATATATGATGCTGGAAGGGGCCATGTAACCTACATGGAATCACATCTAACTTCTAGGGCTTTCGTTAATAGTTTCCTTCCCTTCCCCTAACTCTGACCTCAGGGTGATTACTGACTTGCTCCTTACCAAACCCAGTTCCTGAGACACAGAAATGGACTAGGTTTCCATGAGGGGTGAATGTGGCATGTGACTGATGTGCCCACTTCCACGTGTGTCCTCTGGGCTCTTCCCCTCAGACCAGTCCTGGAGCAGGCGGAGGCATAGGGTGGAAGGAGCCTGTGTCCCTGCGGTGTCACCAGGGAAGGAAGTGACTGTCAAGTGGAAACACCCAATATAGACTTTAGGTTGAGTGAGAAGTAAACCTTCATTGTGTTTGAGTCATTAGTTGTTTGGGCCTGTTTGTTATGGTAACTGGTATCATTCTAGTGACCACTTCAAGAAGAGAAGCTCAGTGAGGGTAGCCATGGAGGCCATTGGAGTTTTTCAGATGAAATGCTGGCTGTCTTCCTAGGCTCTCTCCCATGGCCTACTCCCACTGATGTGTTCGGATCACACTAATTTTTTTAAAAAATTTATTTATTTATTTGAGAGAGAGAGAGAGCACAAGCAGGGGAGAGGGGCAGAAGAAGAGGGGGAAGCAGTAGCATAGAGCATAGAGCCCCATGCAGGACTGGACCTCAAGATCATGACCTGAGCCAAAGGCAGATGCTCAGCTGACTCCAGGTCACACTACTTTTTTAAAAAATCGAACGCTGCAGTGCTGAGTTAAGCAGTAGAAAACTCAAAGTGCTTTAGATCTGTACTAAAAACTTGAATTTGGGGAAGGGCAAACTTTAAAGCAGCAGGGAGTCGAGCTGGGCGGGGATGGGGTGGGTCAGAGGGACAGGCACATCGGGACTGTATGGACACGAGACGACCACTGTCTCTTTTTTTTTTAATTTTTATTTATTATTTATGATAGTCACAGAGAGAGAGAGAGAGAGGCAGAGACACAGGCAGAAGGAGAAGCAGGCTCCATGCACCGGGAGCCCGACGTGGGATTCGATCCTGGGTCTCCAGGATCGTGCCCTGGGCCAAAGGCAGGCGCCAAACCGCTGCGCCACCCAGGGATCCCTTTTTTTTTTTTTTTAAAGATTTTATTCATTTATTCATGAGTGACACAGAGAGAGAGAGAGAGAGAGAGAGGCAGAGACACGGGCAGAGGGAGGAGCAGGCTCCATGCAGGGAGCCTGATGAGGGACTCAATCCCGGATCTCTAGGATCACGCCCTGGGCCGAAGGCAGACCCTAAACTGCTGAGCCACCCAGGGATCCCAGTCCCCTGGTTTCTCACAGAAAACATTTTGTGCACCTACTTTTTTTTCCTTCCCTACTTAAGTCTGTTGGTGTCCAAATACATCCATTCCCTTTTCTCATTTTTGTTGGTGATACTACAACAAACATTGCATTCACTCCATTTCCTGCCCTGTGTGGGAAAATTAGGTGATTTCAAATATTTTCTTTTCTTTTCTTTTTTTTAACTTATTTATTCATGAAATGCAGAGAGATTGAGAGAGAGGGAGAGAGAGAGAGAGAGAGAGAGGCAGAGACACAGGCAGAGGGAGAAGCAGGCTCCACGCCCTGGGCCAAAGGCAGGCACCCAATCGCTGAGCCACCCAGGGATCCTGATTTCAAATATTTTCTTCAGCTTCAGGGTAAGCTGCCAGCCAGCGGCTCTTCTGCATTTTATCCCTGAGCCAGTCTTGGAGGGCATCGACGGGCGGCCAGCCTGTTTGACCAACAAAACGTCTGTGGCTTTGAAATGTGTTCCATATATTTTGGGAGACTCACTAGGGACAGGTCTTATTTTGACACAGACTTCTTGTCCTCTTTTTGCGACATCCACTTGTTTTCTTGCTACTAATGATTCACTAGTCATTTGTTACTATTCCAGGAGCAATACTGACACTGACAAGTATTCCAGTACCAACTCGGCATTTGCCAGGGCTGCACACAGTGTCCCTTTGTCCTTCTGGCCTGCTTCCACAGCCATTTCTGCACTGTTGGACCTCAAGAATTAAAAATAAGCCAATGGAGGATGTTCATCTTGCAGGGAAATGCTGCCATGCAGTTAAATTATCTATTTCTGTGTGCTTTGCGTGTGTGAGTGTGTGTGGTCTTGCCTATATGTCATAAAGGCATCAAATAAATAATACAATTTCTGCACTAAAAATTCAAACTCCTGAACTGTCGGCCATTTCTTGTGTGTCTTGTTCATTTCCTGCATCAGAGGTCAAAATCACAGCAAATCAATGTGGTTTAATTTTACAATAGGGCCAACCTTTAAAATATGGGTCACCTCAGAGATGGTCTGGTTTTTTTTTAAAATTTTTTTAAATTTATTTATGATAGTCACAGAGAGAGAGAGAGAGAGGGGCAGAGACGCAGGCAGAGGCAGAAGCAGGCTCCATGCACCGGGAGCCCGACGTGGGATTCGATCCCAGGTCTCCAGGATAGCGCCCTGGGTCAAAGGCAGGCGCCAAACCGCTGCGCCACCCAGGGATCCCGAGATGGTCTGTTTTGATTCAATGTTTCCTCTTTCAAGGTGGAGAGGGTCTGTGATCACTCCCCTTTGAAGCCTGTGACACTTCCCTTTTCTTTTTCTTAAAGATTTTATTGATGTATTAATAAGAGACACACAGAGAGAGGCAGAGACATAGGCAGAGGGAGAAACAGGCTCCCTGTGGGGACTTGATCCTAGGACCCCGGGATCATGACTTGAGCCAAAGGCAGACGCTCAACCACTGAGCCACCCAGGTGACCCACCCTGTGACACTTTCTTTGGAACATATGTGGCCACTTCTCATCCTTTTATTCCAGATACTCCAGTGTTTCTCTTTTTTAAAAGAGAATACAAACTGGTTCTGTTAGAAGTAGCAGCTGCCAGATTCAAATCTATTTCTCCTCCTGAAGAAAACATTCAAAATGACACAGAGAACAAATGCTTCCTCCATCTTCAGGTGGCTGTGACCCATGTCAGCCAACCCCTCCGAGCATCCCAGAGGCATCTGGGTGAGGACACCAGCAGCGCTCCTATATTGGGTTAAATAGATATAAAGAAGATATAACAGGGGACTGTCAGACTCAGGAGAGAAAGTGAAGAAGATGAAATCATTTCAGAAAAGAAGGCTGAATTGTGGCCAATGTCCAGAGTCACCGTAGACAACGCAGCGAGAGATTTGGTGGGTAGAGGTGAGGGAGACGGCCTCGTGGGAGAAGTGGTGGTGCTCCCCTGTTTCACAGATACTCCTCCCAGTTCAGAGTCATGGGTTCTCTCCCTGTGCCAGGACCCTGAAGCTCACCTCTTGCATAATCCCACCTCATTCTTCCCTCCCCATGAGGTAGGACCTATGACTGATTCTTAGCTTAATGTGCCTAACTTCGACACAGCTAATTGTCAGAATTCTGACTTCATCCCAGCCCCACCTGATTTCTCAGCATATGCTCTTTCCCCCTTTCCATGTGGCCTTGTAAAAAGTAATCATCATGAAATAGTATTTACCTTCTTTGGTGAGTGGGAGCTGGGTAGCATTTTGGGAGGTGCCTTGAGCTGTGTCCTCTGAATCTCTGCCTGTAGTTCTGCCCGTGACAGATTTGTGGCTCTTCTCAACTTCGCGGAGCTGCAGGAAAAGGATGAATGGTTCTCAGGGGAATGGGTGTTTGAGGCTCAGAGCCCTGGATGGTGAGATCTAGGGTACAAGAACTCTGTCTTTGGTTCTTGGTCACTGCCTTACATGGCCAGTTCTTTTTTTTTTTTTTTAAAGATTTTATTTATTTATTCATGAGACACACACACACACACACACACACAGAGGAGAGAGAGGCAGAGACACAGGCAGAGGGAGAAGCAGGCTCCACACAGGGAGCTCGACGTGGGACTCGATCCCGGGACTCCAGGATCATGCCCCAGGCCAAAGCCAGGCACTAAAACACTGAGCCACCCAGGGATCCCCACATGGCCAGTTCTTGGTCCACACTGCCAATGGTTAGAGAGGGCAGCTTGAGACTCAGATTCACACAACATTTGAAGGAGCATCTGGCCAGGGGAGGACAGAAACCATGCCAGTCCTGCCTTTCAAGGTTTTCTGTATCTGGGCAGGAGGATGGTGAGATTAGCAGAGGAGGATGTAGATGGGGAGCTGGCTGTGAGGCAAATGAGATTAATTCCGGGGGAGGGAGTGAGGAGCAAGGAAGACAGGGCTTAGAGCAGGGTGGGGTCTGCCCTTTACGCATGAAGGAGGTGGGTGGGCACTGGGAGAACAGAAGAGAGCTGTCAGAAGTCAGGCGGTGTGGAGAGAGGCTGCCTGAGTGGGGCAGGGGGCTCAAGAGACCCTTACACCATGGGCACAGCTCTGTGTCATTCTGACATTATTTTCTCTAGTATTTTAGTATCAGTTTTAACCTATAGGTATTATTGGGGATATGGCTTTACTATGTATGAACATTGCTTGAGTCCATTGAATTTCTCCTGTTCTTTGGCAACCTCTCTAAATTGAAGTCATCATTATTGTGTGCCCCCAATAGCCTCAGAATATAAATGCATGTCATTTAGTCTTATAAGGCTTCCTATAATACAGACGGTTTGGGATCTGGTTTAGAAGGAAGCCATTTAGATAATATAACTGGGCTCACAGAGCAAATTAGCAAAAACCAAAAACATGACATCTTTTTGAACAAAAGCTTCCGACAGACTCACCGCTTGGATTTTCTTTCTCAGCTGGGCATTAGCTCGGGAAAGGCTTTTGGAAACCGAGTTCAGGTAGTAGATGGCCAGGCTGCAAGAGAAAAGGGAGCCTCCTGTGATCCTGCAGTCTTGGAAAATGACAAGAGCTGGACTCCTTCTGGAGGAATCAAAGCAGGCTTCCTGGAGTAGGTTGCCTCTGGGCAGGGTAAAGAGATATCCTACTACTATCCTAAGTTCCCTTCTTAATTTAGAGAAGGTCCTGGGCACCTTGCTTTCTATTTTATTAAATGTGGAAATGACACACACATTTCTAGCTCTCAGAGTGCTCAGTAAAGGTTGGCTAAAAGAGTCATCTTTCTTGGAAATCTGAGAGGTAGGGGAGTGGCAGGGTTTCTTGAAAGCAGAAGAAGCTGATTATGCATCCTGGGTAACTGCTCTGGGTCAGGCTCTGTGCTATGTGCATCCCACTCCCTGGATAAACTGTGCTTTAATCATACTGCAGAGCAGACTAGAGCTGTTAAAGTGTGGGCTCACGTATCCACATGGATAAATTCCCCAAACATGTTGAGTGAGGAAAGCTATGTAGAGTGCACCATTCCCGAAAAAACGTAAAGCCCAGAGAAGGATAGTGCACAAGCACATGACGAAAACACCAAACTATGGGTGGAAATGATTACGATGAATTCTAACAGTGGTTACCTTTAGAGAGCAAGGAAGACAGCAGGATTGGGAGGGCACTTGAAATGTATGCATAACATTTGTTACTTGGAAAAAGACAGATCTGAAGCACATAATGCAAAATATCAACATTCGTTTACTCTTGTGACTGCATTCACGGTTGTCTGTACTTTTCTGTATGTTAGGAATATTTCCCAATTTAAAAAAGCATGCCAAAACAGGATTTTATAAAGAAAGACACCCTCAGGGCACCTGGGTGGCTCAATGGTTGAACATCTGCCTTTGGCTCAGGGTGTGATCCCAGGGTCCTGGGATCAAGTCCCGCATCAGGCTTCCTGCATGGAGCCTGCTTCTCCCTCTGCCTGTTTCTCTGCCACTCTCTGTGTCTCTCATGAATAAATAAATAAAATCTTAAAAAAAAGAAAAACACCCTCATATTTTCATTAGTACGTTTTCGTTGGTGGTAATTCCAATTCAGGACTCTCGCTTCCCACCTTCTTTTCTTTCTTCCCCTGTTCCTTCCTTGAACATCTGTTGTTTCCCTCCTCTGCCCTAGGCCTGGGGCTGGTGTTGGCAATACAGAGATCATGAAACCCACCCAACCATCCTCCGGGGTTTTTCAGTCTTTGGTGGGAGGGAGAGTGGTGAACGAACCAAATGCACCTAGCACACCCAAGGACAGGCTGAACCAGCCCCTCTGTTTTCGTAGAGACCCAGTGCCCAGAGGTCTTTAACATTTCTAGTGAGTGTTTAGGAGAGTGTTGCAGATACTGGCAGTGCCCATCCGTATTCCTTGGATCCCGCTTTCGGTGTGCTCTGCCACCGAACTGCCAGTTCCTTTCCTTCTGTGCCTGGAGCTTCCCTTCCAACTCGTGCAGAAACCATTCTACCCATGAAGGTAGCTGACCCAAACTGCAACAAACCAACCTCTCTCTCCTTTTATGTTTCCCGGTCCTACCCAACCGGTGAGCCCTGGGCGCCCGTCTACAAATGCCCCGTCCCCCACCCTTGAACTGGATAACTCTGAGGCACACCGATTCCCAGAGTTCGCCAGCAGGATTAAAGTCATCCCAGTGGTCATGACTTTCTTGTTCCTCCCCCATCTCACTGCCCTCTCTCCCTCCCCAATTAACTATCTGCATTTGAATCTTTGTCTCCAGATCTGTTTCTAAGAAATGTAGATTAATTAAGAGAGCGGGGAAAGAAAGGTCTGCCAGGGAAGCCTCAGGTGTAAGGGGAGGTTGCCACGAAGCAGAGCTGTGGGCCCTCACTAACTTACAACATCAGCAGGATGGCAGGGATGATCAGGCCAGGGTTGGCAAGAAAAGCAAAGATCTTGCCCAGGAAGGTTGGAAAATCGTTTTCAATCGTCTCTTGGATGACATCATACATTCTGTTTTTCCCACTGTAAAGAGGAGAGAACACATGACAGCACAGTACGCAGCTCATGTGGCACAAACACCTGTGGCCCACGCCCCTGTGAATCCAAAGCTGCCACTCCCCACTGCTTTCCTGGAAGAACCAGAGCTCTGCTCCATAGGAAATGCACATAAAAATGCCCCATAAGGGGCTGCCATTTGGCTGTATCTTATAGCCGGGTCAATGCCCGGGCTCATCAGCATCATGTCCTTGGCACCTGAGAACTCAGACTACATTGGTCTCCTGTGTCTGACACCTTTTTCAGCAGGATGAAAATGGAGTTTCTACTATACTCTCATGGGAGAAAATTGCCTGCCATATGGCTGTAAAATCAACATGGAACTCCCTCTGGGTCCCTAGGGCATGGAAAGAGTTCTCTAGAGGCTTCTGTAAGAGATAACCTTATGGGGCCGCTGAAAAATACCTACAATTGTCTTCAGATTACAGTTTCAGGAGACTGGACCACCTAGGACAAGCTCCTGGAGAGGTCACAGCAGTAATCTTGATTTTCTTCTAATACCTAAGAACCATTATGAAGACTGACCTCCCAGAGACTAGGGTCCTCTGCTTGGCTTTGGTGAGTCCTTTCAGTGTCAAGAAATGGACTTTAGGGCTTGAAATTCCATGTTCAAAACCTTGCTCCTTCATCTATTAGCTGTGGGACACCCTGAATAATTTACTTATTCTCTTTCTGCCTATTTTTATCAGTTCCCTGGCTCTCCCCATTAGAGCTGTTTTGTCCAGTGGAGCTATTAAAATAGAATAATAATTTTAAAAATTAATTAAAATTAAATAGAACAAAAAATTCGGTTTTTTAGTCTTACATTTCAAGTGCTCAGTAGTCATGGGACTAATAGGTACTATTTTTGAAGAGTAGATACGGAATTTTTTTATCACATAGAAAATTTTATTAGACAGTGCTGCAGAGGTTTCATATCTTCAGCCAAGATACTGAACATTTCTCTGCCCTGGTTTCCTCATCTGTATAATATAATATAACAATAATATAGCAGAATATGGTATTGTAAGTATAATAATAGTATTTTCCTCAGAAGATTGTTTAGAGGGCATAGATACAAATTTATATAAAATATTGTGGGGGTGTCTGAGAGGCTCAGTCTGTTAAGCATCTGCCTTCGGCTCAGGTCCTGGATTGAGCCCCAGGTTGGCCTCCCAGCTCAGCAGGGAGTCTGCTTCTCCCTCTACCCCTCCACCTGCTCATGCTCTCTCTCTCTCTCTCTCTCTCTCTCTCTCTCAATTAAATAAATAAATAAATAAATAAATAAATAAATAAATAAAATCTTTAAAAAATCTTGTGTATGAGGCCATCAAATTATAAGTGCCCTCCAAAATGTTGCAACCAGAAGCTTCATTTTTCTCTTCTGTAAAGTATTGAGCAAGGATTGGCAAAAAATGGCCCATGGGCCAGATTTGGCTTGCTACTTGTTTTCACATGGCCTGAAAATGAAGCATGGTTTTTCTGTATTTAAATGATTGGGAAAAAAAGAAGAATATTCTGTGATTTATAACAATTGAAGTAGGTAATTTAAACTTCAGTGTCGGTAAGTAAAACATTACTGGAACACAGCCATGCTTATTCACTTAAATAGGGTCTATAGTTATTTTGGTGTTCTAGTGGCAGACACGGAATTGTTGTGTCAGAGATCATTTGTGGCCATCTCAATGCTTAGCACTTTTTTTTAAAAAAAGATTTTATTTATTTATTCATAAGAGTCACAAAGAGAGAGGCAGAGACACAGGCAGAGGGAGAAGCAGGCTCCCCAAGGGGAACCCGATGTGGGACTCGATCCCAGGACCCCGGGATCACGCCCTGAGCCAAAGGCAGATACTCAACCACCGAGCCACCCAGGCATCCCAATGCGTAGCACTTTTAAGTGCCATGCATATCACCATATTATGACATTTAATTAATTAATTTTTTATTATTATCAGTGTCCGCCTGTCATGTAAAAACAAGAAAAGTGAATTTCACATGTTATGAAGTCACAGTTAAATGTGGGTTATTTTGTCCTTGCATCATGATGTATTAGATGGTGTATTAGTTTCCAATGGGTGCTATAACAAATTGCCACACAGGTGACTTCAAACAATACACATTTGTTCTCTTATAGTTCTGGAGGCCAAAAGTCTGACATGTTTCACTGGGCTGAAATTAAGGTGTTGGCAGGGCTGCACTCCCTTCAGAGGGAGAATCTATTTCCTTGCTTTTTTTCAGCATCTAGAACTTTATTCCTTGCACTCCTTGGCTCACGGCCCCTTTCTCCATCTTCAAGTCTGGCAACATTGAATCTTCAAATCTCTCTCTGCTTCCATGGTCACATCACTTTCTGTTCTTCTGTAGTCAAATCTCCCTGTGCCTCCCTCTTGTAAGGACATTCATCATTTAGGGCTCACCTGGATAATCCAGGATAATTTCTCCATCTCAAGATCCTTAACTTAATCACATTGGCAAAGACCTTTCTGCTATATAAAATAACATTCACAGGTTCCAGGGATTAGGATATTAACATCTTTGGGAGCCATTATTCAACCCATCACCATATGCTCTCTGGTCCTTGAAGATTCACATTTGTCCCACCAGCAAAATACATTCACTGTCATTCCTACATCCCCCAAAGTTTTGCAGCTCATTAGAGTATCAACCCACAGTCCAAAATCTCATCTAAATATCATCAGCACAGAAGTCCCAAATCTCACCAGCTAAATCATGTATAGATCGATAAGACTCTAGGTATGATCCATATTGGGGCAAAATTCTTCCCTGTCTGTGGACCCATGAAACTAGAAAACAAGTTATTTACTCCCAGAATACAATGGTGGGTCAGCCCTAAGATAACAGCAAAAGCTTGCAGTGTTACTGCTCATGTGACATTCTTAAATACCTGATGGGTTTTCTGCAAATGTCATGGGAATTCAGTCCATTAGACAAGAGGGACCCACACTGATCTTTCCTGGAGAATTCTGTCTGTGTTTGCCTTCTGCTGAGATGGTTGAGAGGATTCCAGCCACAAGCTTAAAAAAATCCTTAACTCATAATCATTTTCGTTTCTGTACATTTTTTTGTCAAAAATAGAAGCCGAGTATTCTAATTCGCCCTACTGCACAGCAATTCAGTGGCTTAGCAGTAGTAAAGTACTATGGCAAGTTTTCTTCTATGGTGGGAGATGTGTTGTCATGTCTGGTACAATGATGGATCCAGGCAGCAAAGGCGGCAATCTGAGCTGTATAACTGATGTTTGATGACTTTGAGATTCTGTTATGTGAGATATTATCACATAAAAAGTACTCCATCCTTTTCAATGGTGGATGTATCTTACAAAAAATTATATTCTATTATTATAATATCTTGAATTTTGTCACTAAAAACTTTGTGCCCATTTGTTTCTCTTATTATACAAGTACTTACATGATATCCTTGATTTTGCCTCTTGATTCCCAAAGCTGAAAATATTTACCTTCAGGCTCTTTCCAGAAAAAGTTAGCTGAGCCCTGGTGTAGATAATGCTTTCCCCCTCATAGTCTTGTTATGAGTACCAGCCACCCCCAGCTTGGGCAGGGCCCAGGCTTAACAAACTCGTATATATGCCTTATTACGGAAATTAGCACCCTCCTTTAAGCACTTTGCAAATAATTTAGTAAATCCTCATAACAATCCTAGGAGGGAGGCACTACAATTATTTCCATGTGATAGGCAATTAACTTGTGGTGTAGGGAGCTAAGGAACCTCTCACGATGATCCAAGCTTACTCCAGAGTCTAAACTCTGAGTCAGGGGGCTGAGAAATTTTTTTTTTCCTGGAAAGAGCTGGATAATAAAGATTCTAGGCTTTGCGAACCAGATATCTCTGTTGGAGTGACTCCATTGTACTGTTGTAGTGAGAAAGCAGCCATAGATTATATGTAAGCAAGTGGATGTGGCTGTGCTCCAATTAAACTTTATTTACAAAAAAATTTACAGGACTCAACATTGCCCATCTCATTCATTTATGTTGTCTGCCTGGATCTGGTTGAAACCCTAAGTCCCTCCCTGCAAAAGTAAATTTTTGTGACCCGAGAGGTCTAGTCTGAACACTGACCATAAACCAGGTGTTCACTTCTAGACAGTGAGAAAGGAAGAAAAATCACATCCTTGTGGACCTTACGTCCTGATGAAGGAGACAGACAACAAACACAGTAAATAAATAAAAGGACTGGGATGCTAGCTGTTGATAAAGGGATGCAATAAGCAGAAACAATGATAAAAAGTGTGTGTGTTGGAAAAAAAAAAAAAAAGTGTGTGTGTTGGGCAGCCCCGGTGGCCCAGCGGTTTAGCGCCCGCCTTCAGTCCAGGGCGTGATCCCGGAGACCCGGGGTCGAGTCCCACGTCGGGCTCCCTGCATGGAGCCTGCTTCTCCCTCTGCCTGTGTCTCTGCCTCTCTCTCTGTGTCTATCATGAATAAATAAATAAAATCTTAAAAAAATGTGTGTGTGTGTTTGATATTTTAGTTAGGCTCTCCTGGGAAAGGCTCACTGACGAGGTGACCTTTGAGAAAACACCTGGAGCAAGCAAGAGAGAGAACAGCTGTAGAAACATCTGAGGAATGAACTTCTAGTTGTTGGTAAGTTTTGATCAGAAGGGGGACAGGAGGGTGGTGGCAGCCATGTTTCCTTCTGAGTCCTGTTTTTACGTTCCTTTCCGTGCTCCCTGGCTGTAGGCTGTGGGGACCTCTCACGGTAGCCATGAAGCAAGGGTGGGGCAGATGATGAGGGCCAGGCAACCCATTCATGGGCCTCCTGTCTGGGGGCAGGTAGGCAGCCAGAGCAAAGTGGCACTGGCATTTGCATCCAGAGCTCAGCCATCCAAACCTTGCTTAGGAAGTCAAAAGAAGCTTCTACCGCCGTGAGCACTCCACTAACGTCTCTGAGCACCACCGCACTTGCTGGGGGGCACCGAGCATAGGGCTTTCTCTAGCTACGTCCCTTGTAAACAGAAAGGTGCTGGATCAGCATTTCCCCATGTGTTCATCCACAATGGTGAGCATGGAGCCAGGACTAGAGTGAGGTGGGTGAGGCCCTGGGATGCACAGCTGAAGGCACTACTCACTCGGAGGATTGTGCAAGTGCAGCATCGCCACATCACCAGCCTCACCTTACTCCCGGCCTCACATGGGTATTACATAAAGAAAGAGTCTGTGCTCAGTAAGGATGGAAACTTATGGCTCGTACATATTATCTTATTGCCTGATTCATCTGATCCATTAATAAAGAGTGTGCCTCGAGCATTTCTAAGAGAGAAGGTGGCAGATAAAAGGGGCAGCATGTTCCAAACTGCTTGAACCACAGAACCAACTCATTGTTAAGGAGTAGAGAGATGGCTTTGTGTCCAGAGGGTCTCATGTTTGGAAAGAGAGCAGCAGGTGTATATTGTCTCTCAATGTACCTCCTTACATAATTACTTATTTCTTTATACAACACCCAGTCTCCTGAACTAGTCTGACTTATATTGAAACCCGCAGTGCTGACAAATGCTCTGCAGAGCATGGGGCGGGGGGGCACCCAGTCAAAAATCTCAATTCCTGCTTCACATTTGAATGGCACTTATAAATATATGGGTATTTCATCTTCAGAATATCCCCCGTTACTTATCTCATGGTAAAGGGAATCCAGGGCAGTAGATTATCCACATATTAAAAGGTCAGAGCTGCGCTGTCCAATATGGTAACCATCAGCCATGTGTGGTGATTTAAATTCAAATGAATTATAATGAGGGCAGCCCCAGCTTAGCGGTTTAGTACTGCTTTTGGCCTGTGGTGTGATCCTGGAGACCCCAGATGGAGTCCTGCATCCGCTCTCTGCATGGAGCCTGCTTCTCCCTCTGCCTCTGTCTTTGACTCTGTCTCTCTCTGTTTCTCATGAATAAATAAATAAAATCTTTAAAAAAAAACAAATTATAATGATATAAAGAAATTCAGTTTCTTGGTCCTCATTTCAAGTGCTCAAAAGCCACACATGGCTGGTGGCTACCTTATCGGATCATGTAGAAATACATTTCCATCCTTGCAGAAAATGCTATTGAACAGCTCTGATGATTTGCTCAGAGCTGCATGGCCTTTTGCAGGCTGGTGTAACACTAGAACTGGACCTCTGAGCAGATTGGGAGAGGAGCTGCTCCCATGCAACCAAGACTGTGTACCTGAATGGCCCACAGTCAAAGGAGGGCGGGAGGGACATAATGGTGTAGGCCACTGGCAGGAGGCTGAGGAAGAGCACCAGCAGCAGGAGGCCCATGTAGAAGTTGCTGGATCGGGAGGCTTTGAACACACGTTCATGGGGAACGTTGCTGCTCATCACTGCCCAGCACTGGAAGTACATGGAGGTCAGCAGACGCAGCACATTGATGCCTACCAGTCCTGGAGCATAGAAGGAGCCCATCCTGGAAGGGTAGAAACCACACACCTGGTTGGCCCCATAGCAGGAGAGGCCAGGGAAAGATGACAGGGGGAAATGGGATTGATGGGTTAGGACTATGAGGCCTAGCTGCTTTCCCTGCACATCCCAAGGGCAGGGGCCTCCCATTGCAGCAGGATGCTTACCACCAAGCCCCAGCCACCCATTCCTCAGGAGAAGGAGACCTCCAAGCTCTACTGGCCTGGCTTCTGGCCGGGATTTAACCACTGCCTCACCACGAGGGACCTAGCAAATTATTTGGCCTCCTGCCTGTTTCTCTGTGATCCCCCTAAAACAGCATTGCTGTTCAGAAATGGATCTGAAGTTCTTAAAGGAAGAGAATTGGATGCTGGCTTGCAGTGAGCCTCTTAAAAGTCTTTGGGTGAAATTACACAGCCTTTTCTTCATCTCCCATCTCAGAGGAGGGATCCCTTTGGCTCCTCTACTCCTCCTCTCCTTTCTGTTTTCTCCCTCCTCCTCTTTCTTGCCTTTCCTCCTCTGTTTCTCCTCCCTCTCTCCCTTTTCCCTCCTCCTTTCTCCCCTCTCTACTTCCTTTTTTTCTTCCTCCTTTTCATTCCCCCTCCTATCTTTCTACATCCCCCTCCTTCCCTCTCTGTCCATGGTAGCACATGGGTGGGCCAGATACTGTCCTGGTTCTCATCTCATCTTCCTTCTATTTGTCATCTGAACGGAGGCAGTTCAGAGAGGCCTGAGGATTTTTCCAGCCTCTACCTAGCTAGGTGGGAGGCCAAGCTTGGGATTCCAGTTTTCTGACTTCCCCGAATCAGTGGTCCACAGATAAAAAGCATAGCTCACCAGATCATTCCTTGGTTGAAGATCAAGCCGAGTACATTTCCACTAATATCAAACTCAGCATAAGAGGGCTGCAGAGGGAGGCAGACAGAGAGAAAAGAAGTTGTTAGGCATCTGCCAGTCCCTGTTACCAGCCAACTGGCTAAGTCGAGGCCTCTCCAAAGAGCTTGGTCTAGTGACCAGATAGGAGCCTTGGATTCATGCTTCTGTTTCTTTAACACATTTCTACTTTTTGAGAAAAGTTTTGAAGTTCTCAAAGTTGAAAATTTTTCCAATGACTTTTTCAATTAAAAAAGTGAGAATTAAAAAAAAAAAGTGAGAATTTTTACTTTTTAGAGCCTGTGGGCTGACAGTGTGTTCTTGGGAGGACCCTGGCCCCTCAGAGAACATTTTATCATTGCTCTAATCAGAAATTTACCTTGAAATTATAATAAAGGAATAAATCTAATAAATAACCAAATGCAAACATCTAAATGAGTCAAATACAATAATAGCTTTAAAAGGAAGCAAGCAAACAAAATAACTAAACCACTCCTCCAGTTGTCTTTTCTCCTTCTAGTTTTCTTCTAGTCTGAGTGCAGTTCATTGAAAGGAAAGAGCTCAGCCAGATTCAGGTTTTCAGAATGACTCTGATTTTCAGAATTTTGGAGATATGTCAACTATTTGAAAGAATGCAAAGTGTGTGAGCACTGGGGAGTTGGGGGTCCTCATGCAGCATGCTTAAACTAACTTTCCCATTTGTCCTCCAGAAATGGAGGTCAAGGGTGACAGGGATGAAGAGGAGAAAGTTAGGAGAGAGAGAAAGGAGAGTCAGGTATGGATCAAAGGAGGAAATGTGCATATTCGAAATATGTGAAGGTTAAGCCTTGGGAATTTAAAATTTAACATTTAAAAATATTTTTAAAAACTTCTCATCTTCTGGGCTTTGTGTCCTGGTTAGGAAAATTGTCCTCACCTCAAGATTGTAACTTTATATATGCTTTCTTTCAGAAATTTATGATTTCATTTTTTGATGTTTAAAACTTTGATTTACCTACAATTTATGTGTTTAGGTAAAATGAATGAGAGGTACAATCTCTCCCCCAATTAACCAGTTGTCTCTACCCTTTATCATATAATCCCCCCTCTCCCACTGGGTTAAAAGACTGTCTTTATCTTAAATTAAATTTCCACATACATTATTTCATTTAGATTGTATTTCTGGATTTTCTATTCTGTTCTATTGGTAACTTTGCCTATTCCCTAGTACCAGTTGGAATTATTATCGCTTCATAATATGCTTTAAAATAATGGTAGGGCTAGTCCCGTTCATTTTGCTATATTAAAATTTTTTCCTGGCTACTTCCACATATTTATTTTTAGAATAAACTTTAGTATTATTTGGGGATTTTGTTGAACTTATAAATTAATTTGAGGGCAATGACATTTTAGCAGTCTCATGTTGTCCTATTAAAGATGGTGCCCTCTTTGAGTATAAGGTTCATTTATCCCTGTTCTCAGATGAGATTATGAAGTTTTCCTCACTGTGAGGAGGAGTTGAGTAGGCCTAAGTAAAATTGTGTCTGGTGACTAAAAGAAAAAAAAAAAAACTGACCGAGGCCAGGTACATACTGTAGGCCACAATGAAGATGACACAGGTAAACAAGATTTGGAGCTCAGTGAAGGGGAAGTGCCTCCCACCCGCCAACAACAGTGACTAATAAGGTCAGTGAATGAGGCATTGAGGAAGAGACATGCACAGGACAGATGAGGCCAGACATTCCACCATATCACAGAAGGCCACCACAGAGAGGAAATGGCACACATTTAGAATGAGCAGTTTCCCAGGTAGGTGGGGAAGAAGAGTATCCCAGGTGGAGGGAATGAGGACAAAGAGGTTTCTCAAAGCATAATCCAAAAGACAGCACCAATGGTTGCTGTGTTCTTGATTTGTTCCAAGACTTTGTGAAACATTCATGTCCACATCTGCCCTCTCCAACCCCAGGATTTCATTAGAGTCTCAAAAATTAAGAGCTACCATTTCCAGGCTGCCTAGGTGGATCAGTTGGCTAGGGGTCTGCCTTCAGCTTAGGTCATGATCTCAGTGTCCTGGGATCGAGCCCCAAATTAGGCTTCCTGTTCAGCAATCCCCCTCTCTCTCCCTACCCTTCAGGCTTGCAATCTCTCTCTCTCAAATAAATAAATAAAATCTTAAAAAAAAAGAAAAAAGAAAAAAGAACTACCATTTCCCCTTATCCACTTCGATTACCATTCCTATCTCTTACTCAGTGTGGACTTCAAGTATGGTGTTCCTTGCCTTCCCTAATGAACATCTGCTTGACACTGAAGCATGTGATCTACCTTTCCCAAGGCCAAATGCCTCCATTTCCCAGATAGAAGGTCATTTTGTTAATTACATGGGGGAAAAAGTGGAATTTCCTCTAGGAAGGCAAATATGACACTTAAGGGAAATACAGATAAAATGCTTCACTACTTCACAGAGCAGAAACTGGCATCAATTATCTAAACAAATGTCTATGAATGCATCCGACTATATCAGATAGGATGGTTGAGACGCCTCTCTGCGGGAAGTTCATGAAACAGTGACCTACAAATCCAGCCTCCAGGTCCCAGCACCAGCAGTAGTTCATGAACCGCACAAAACAAGCCCGCAGGAAGTCCCCCAGCAGGATGGTGATGTACGTTACCAGCATGTCAGACACTGTCAGCCTCATGAATTCCTGCAAGGGGGAGCACAGGAAAAGGGCATAGTCAGGGTCAAACCTTGCCCACTTCTCCCAATTGACTGGAGTCATGCAAAGTCTTCCCCACCCACCTGAATCTTCTCTGTGACCTCCTGGTTGTTGGTGGCAGAGAAGTAGTGCAGAAAAAGGACCCCAGGCTTTGGAAAATGCTTATTTTTAGGTCCCAGCTCTACAAGTTACCATTCATATTGCTTTGGAATAATCTCTGAGCTTCTCAAAGCTGATAATGATATCAACCTTACAGGGTTATTGGGAAGCTTGATTATGCATGCAAATTGCCTGGCACATTGGCAATGCCCAATGTATGGTAGTTATCAACATTATTGCAGAGAGAGGATCCGAAGGCTCCCTCCTTGCTTCCTCCACTTCCTCTGAAATGTAGCTGCCTCCAGCTAAGACTGAATCTGACCATCGTCCCTGGGGACAAGAGCTAGCCTTCTTCATCTCCTGCTAATTGGATTTTTGCCTTGTTATACAAAGATAATAATGCAGGTTTTTCATGAGGCACATAGTGGAAAGGCCAATAGCAAAGCTTTTCTCCACTTTATAGAGTGTATATAATTTATTAATTAAAAAAATGGAAAAGATCTACCAGGCATCATCACAACCTTTAAGACATCTCATAGCCTTGGAGTTCCTGGGGAACACAGAGTCTGCTTTATTCATTTTTGTATCCTTCAAGATGATTAATGAATATTTGCTGGATAAACAGCTGATGAGTTTTCAGGTTTATTCCTCAATAAGAATTCAAGTTAATGCTCCTAAGTAAAAGACAAATCAACATGTATCAGGTCTCTAGTTACGTACAAGTTGATGCTCTGGGGCTTGGGGTGGAGGTGGTGGAGGATACAGGTGAGCAGGACATAACAGCTCAAACCCATCATTACTGACAAGTTCAGAAAGAACTTTAATCAGTGTTGGGAACAGTGATGGGCATTCAAGGAGGAGGGCAAAGGAGACGCCTTCCAAGGGTGTGACATAGGAGATGAGAAATTCTATTGCAGAATATTCCAAAAGAACCATGTAGGTAATGAACTCTCTTTTTCTTCTGAGGAGAGTGGGTTTTATTGACTTGAAGACGCGTTCTCTGTTACACCCTGTTATGGCTTTAGAAATGCGGGAGCTAGGGAAGTTGGATTGCTTTGTACATTAATGGTGGGGAGGATTTAAAGAGTATGGGGGAATCTGGATTGGAGGAGTGAGAAATGGTGAGTCTGAGCCCTCCAGGGAGGAATTGGGGAGAAAGGGCCCCCAGGGCCCCATGGGAAGGACACCCTGTCGCAGGAAAATATCTGCTGGTGGATTTAGAGGCAGTGTTGATGTGATATAATCCCTTTCTTCATTGTACTTCATTATCCTCAGTTAAAAACACTGCTGTCTATTGCTCTATGTGGTTGGATTCTTCAGGGAACCCATGAAGAAGTAATAAACTGCATCTCAGTGTGGTGACATATAAAAGAAAACCCTGTGCAGGAGGTGGAGTTGAGGAAAAGAGGGCAGCTGATCCCTAGGTAGAAACATGAAGTATTTCTTCAAAGAAAGAAGGCAAAGAACATTAGCCTTTGAAGTCCATACTGTGTAAGCTACAGGAATGGTGGTGACAGTGAATAAAGAAAAATGGTAGTTTTCAATTTTTGAGATTAATGAAAACCATTTATTTTCTTTACAAAAATGCATAGATGCATATATACACACAAATTCTGCATCCAAGTTTTAGGAGAATTTATTCCTTATTTCAGGGTGGAGAACCTCAGGTTGTCAGTGAAATCAGTAGTAAGATTCTAAATGAATCCAAATGGTATTAGATTGATGAATGGAGCAGGGAGAAAAATATGTGGGATGCTGAAAAAATTGGGAAAGAGAAAAGGTAGAACTTTCCTAAGAAATACTGGCTTGACATTTTGATGGCTTAAAAAAAAAATATATATATATATATAAAAGAAATATCAAGGAAGGAATAACAAAGATCTGAGAACAGGGATCACTTTTGCAGGAGAGCATAACTACTCACAATGCCCACGGCTGTCTCCCAGCAAGAACCCCGGGGCACATCTGCAGGGTGCAGGGGTGGCCGGGGGACACTCTCATTCCAACCAGAGGAGTTGTAATAGTTAAACAGAGTCCAGTGAGTGATGTTCTTTATTGTCTCTTCATTAGAAAGCTAGAATGGAAGATGGAGATGTGGGGTTGGAAGGAGCCAGGAGTGGTCCAACTGTTTCCATGGGAACAATTAAAGCCAGAATATGGCACCACTCTACCACCTAACCTCTGCCCTACCCCTTAGCAGTCTCTACAGAAGTGCCCTCCCCAGCCTTTCAGTCTATATAGGAAAGGGGGACATTTGGCTGAAGTCCTTGGGTCTTTTCCATGAAGTTATCTTTTCTAAGTTATTATCCATCTGTCCGTTCATCCATCCATCTAGTCATTCATTCTTCTTTTGGGAGTAATTTTTTTCAGGGTCTATTCTGGGCATGTAAGGCAATGGTGACACAAGAGTGAAAAAGAGAGACAGGCTTCCCTCAGAAAGTTCACAGTCTAGTAGGTGACAGAGATGAGCAGACAATTATAGAATAGAGTGATAAGATCTATATTCTCCAGGAATCAGGGAAATCCACCTCAGACCGTGGGGGCCACAGAGAACTTCCTGGAGGTAGAGACATCTGAGACAAAACCTCAGGGAAGATTAGTCAACTAGCCATACATGGGGAGAAGGGTGGAAAGACAGGCAAGAGAAAATTCTGTCCTGTGTAGGAAATGTGAGGCTCAGGAGAGTGAAATAGTTCGCTGGAGTAGGAAGAAAGTCAGAGGTGAAGGTGGAGGGGTAGGTAAGGGCCAGATCCAGTTACTTCCATGCTTAGAACCTTCCAATAGTTTTCTGGTAACCTCAGGCAAAAGTTCATGCAGCTCAATAATGGGGGTGGGGTGGGGAAGAGGACCATCATCATCTGACCCTTCCCTTAGGTTCATTTTCCCCTTCTTCCCTCCACTACATTCGTGCCATCCTGTAGTTCCTTGTTTGCACCAGCTGTTCCCTCTGCTTTTTCCAATGTCTGGTAAGACACCCCAGTTGGGGCGGGAGAGATCTAGAGCCCCTCTTATGGCCTGCCATGATTCCCTGGGCTTGCCCCCAACTGAAGCACATGCCACAGTGTGCTGTAATGAATAAGTCTGTCTCCCAGCCTAGATGTGAATATGCTTGGAACAGGACTAGTGTCTTGCTGTCTGCTCTACCCACAAGGCCTGACATAGTGGGTGGTCCATAACCGTCTAGTGAGGAGTGACGGAAAGTTGGGTAAACCTGACATATGTCAATGGACACTTACTTGGCTGATAAACATTTATGGCAGCTATGATACAATATAGGAAAGGCTGCAGATAAAATATTAAGAGTACCAAATGACATGTATACGATGTAAAAAAGACTACCTAAGAAAAAGACAGTAAAGACCTGCAGCAAAATGTTAACAATGGTGGTCTTTGGGTCATAGGATTTTGGGGATCTTTTTCTCCATTTTACTCTTCACAACTTTCCAAAATTTCTTTAATTAATAGGAATCATGCATAAGGAAATTATAGTTGAAGAAGAAATTTGGTGGACACCAGGGATCGGGGGAGTTTATGGTCTTTACCTTGAGGTGAACATCATCCATCAGGGCCAAGAGAAACGTGTAGAGGTTCCCCAGGAAGAGTGCAAAAATGCGTCCTAGCTGCCACTTCAGTCCAATGCGTGGGTGATAATTCTCCAGGGTAGCAATGGTTTCAAACAAAGGGGGACAAAACATACCAAGCAGGGACATCACAATTTCTACCTAAGAAATCAGGAAAGCCTGTATTACTTGTGTCATCAACATCACTTGCTTGACCACCATCTCTATACTACCCAGGGCCATACATTTCCATCTCCTTGTTGCCCCCTCCTCTGCCTCTGGAAATGTCCTTAGGTCATCACAACTTACTGTGTGATCTTGGCTAAGGCACCATCATGCCTGGAGCATTCAGTGTATTGTCCCATACATCATAACTGCTCTGTGATTGCTTGTCATCATGATTGTTGCTATTAGTATTGATAAACTTCCTTTGAGAAATAAATGAGTTAACATGTAGAACAGTGCTTTGTGTTCTGTAAAAGTCATGAACTGGACAAGAGTCACCATGGTAGCTCTTATCTCAGGAGCATGGAAGACAGGAAGCTAAGATAACAAAAGGTTGCTAAAAGCAGAAGGATATAGTTAAGAGTATGGCATTTGGAGTCAGTTCTCTGGGTTTGAGCCCCAGCTCTATCACTTGATGGCTTTGTAACTTAGGAAAAGTCACATAACTTCTCTGAGTTTCTTGTTTCTTCATGTGTAAAGTAGGAATGACAGTTCTTGTTGTGGGAGTCAGAAGAGATCTTGGACATAAGTCTCCCAGCCCAGAGCCTGGTAAGCACTAAATACTGGCTCCAATTTTGGTAGAATTTTGACTCATATAGCTGAACCTGACCATTGTAGAATGTGTGTGTGCATGTGTGTGTGTGTATATATATATATAACTAAAACTGCTCATCTAGTGGAGAGTAAATCTTTGAACTGCTGACCAGAGTGCAGGTGGGTCAACTCTTCTGGGCTGGTTCTGATTCCCTCATACTCTATCACACTGACTGTTGGCTTGGCTTCTCATTACCTTCACACTTTCATCCCAGTTCATGCAGTGCTTCCCACCTGGAGAGCCACCCTGCACCATATCCATCACTGCCTTTCTTCACATATTTGTTTAATGCACAGCCCAATTCCTGCCTTTGCCACAAAATCCCCCTGCTTCTCCAGCTCACATAGACTTCTCCACCTGCCATACATCTGTAACCCGAAATGTCTTATTTGATCCCTATTCCTGCCCACTATTTGTGCTTTGATTTATTCTTGTCAAGTCCACGTCCTAAGAAGATGTAAGGGCAGAATCCATCTCAGGCATCTTATAGCTTAGCGACCTGAGTTTTAGATGAATTCATTGCAAATAGCATGTAGCTTTGAAAAAAATTCATTCTGATTATTATTGCCTTTATTTAAAAAAAAAAAGATTTTAGGGTAGCCGGGATGGCTCAGCGGTTTAGCGCTGCCTTCAGCCCAGGGCCTGATCCTGGAGACCCGAGATCGAGTCCCATGTTGGGCTCCCTGCATGGAGCCTGCTTCTCCCTCTGCCTGTGTCTCTGCCTCTCATTCTCTCTGTGTCTCTCATGAAAGAGTAAATAAATAAAATATTAAAAAAAGATTTTATTCACTTGAGGGAGTGCAAGCCCAGAGGGAGAGGGAGAAGTGGACCCTCGCTGCGGGGATCCCAATGTGGGACTTGATCCCAGGATCCTGGGATCATATGACCTGAGTCAAAGGAAGATGCTTAACCAACTGAGCCACATGGGCACCCCTTTTATTGCCTTGTAGCTTTAATCCACTTACATTTATTGTAATCACTGATGTTAATTCTATCTGATTTTATGCTTTATATTTGTCCTACCAATTGCACATTTCTTTTTCTATCCTTTTTTTGCTTTATGGGAAGAGAGAGATTCTTTCTTATTATTTATTTAGCTATGGGTCAGTATTATTTTCCCTGGGTTTAAGTAGGTGGTTCTTTTGCTGGCCTCACGTGAATTCATACATGTATCTATGGTCAGCTGATGGTTGATGGCTTCATTCATATGTCTGGTGGTTGACTGGCTATCACACTGGCCATGTGTCTGTTTCTCATCATTCAACAGGCTAGTCTGGAACTGTTCACATGGTGGAGGTCTCAGGGTTTCCAAGAAACCAAGTTCCAATACACAAGCACTTTTCAAGTCTGCTTATGTCATGGTCGCTACTGTCTCCTTGCTAAAGCAACTCACATGGCCAACCTTAGCTGTATTCAAAGGATGGGGAAGCAGTCTCTATCTCTTCAGGAGAGGAGCTAGAAAATCATACTGCAAAGAAATATAGGAATATAAGAAGGGGAAGAACTTGTGGCCATTTTGCCAACCACTAAGATGTTAAATTCCCAAAACAGATTTATGGATTCAATATAATCACAATGAAACTTTGATGAGTTTTATTGTGGAGCTTGATGAGAGATCATCAAGACATACTTTAAAGTCATAGTTTATCACTGTGTTTTTTAGTGCAGGAACAGATAGATAAACCAATGGAATATAATAGAGAGCCCATACATTAACAGATACTTGATTTATGATGTATGGCACTATAGAGCTGTGAAGAAAGGGTCACCTTTTTAATAACTGGTGCCAATACAACTTACTATTTAGTTGACTGACCTGTTAATTATAACCCAGCTTTAACAACCTACAAAAGCCTAATAAGAGGTTACTCTTTGTTCATACGTTCATGCAACTGGACTGAAAAGGGATGTAATTTCACTTTTTAAAACATGTCCTATAATCCAGATTTTCAATAGTTTAGCTAAATTGCATAGGGACCAGGATAATTTCCATGTTTTCCCTCAATATTCACTTATATAGAGATGTGTGTTTTACCTCATTTCTTTCATACCAGCTGACATTCTGCATTTTGGAGAATTCTTGGGATCGTTTCACCACAAAGTAAATGAGGTACCCACTTCCACACAAACAGCAAATGATGAGAAAGTTGGCTAGAACCCGGAGAAATCTTGTCAGATGGATATTTTCTTCTTTGTTACTTTCTTGTTCATCCACTATTGATTCCTTAATGTGTAGAAATAAGATGTGAATAATGATAGGCCAGGAACTATCATTGTTGGGCTCCTGAAATGACTACTGACTATATTTTTGTAAGTGAAATAATGCAAAGGAGGTGGTGCAGGGCACTATTGCCCTATGGAGAATTATTTTCGTATTTTCTTTTTAAAAAATATTTATTTCTCTACTTACTTACTGTATGCCAGATGTGGTGCTAAACACTTGCTTTGCATTATTCCTCCTAATTCCAAAAACAAGCCAGTGGAATAGTTTCTATTATTACTCATGTCATAGATACTAAGGCCCAGAGAGATCTTAGCAACAGTTTGGGATTATTTTAAAACTATAGATCGGGGCGCCTGGGTGGCTCAGTTGGTTAAACACCTGCCTTTGGTCCTAGAATTGAGCCCCACATTGGGCTCCCTGCTTAGCAGGGAGTCTGCTTCTCCCTTTGCCCCTCTCCCAGCTTGGTCCTCTCTCTCTTTCTCAAATAAATAAAAATAAATCTTTAAAAAAATATAGAAATCAAATAGATTAAAATGAAATGTTAATAATCCTGAGTCTTCTAATCCAGGCGTCTACAAACATTTTCTATTAAGAGTCATATATAGTACGGGTGCCTGGATAGCTTAGTTGGTTGAGTGTCAGATTCTTGATTACAGCTCTGGTCATGATCTCAGGGGAGTGCAATGGAGCCCCGCATAGGGCTCTGTGCTCAGTACAGAGTCTACTTGTCCGTCCCTCCCCAACTTGTACCATCTCTCTCTTAAATAAATAAATAAATAAATAAATAAATAAATAAATAAGATCTTTTCTTTATAAAAAGAGCCATATAATAAATAGTTTTGGCTTGCAAGCCATGTGGTCTCTTTCACAACTACTCAGCTATGCCATAGTAGCATGAAAGCAACCACTGACAATATGGAAATAAGTAGGCATGGATTTATTTCAAGAAAATCTTATTTACAAAAATAGGCAGCAGTCCTGGGTTTACCCCTGGGCCATAGTTTGTTGCTTCCTGTTCTAATCTATGAACATGGTTTATTTCTCCATTTACTTAGGGCTTCTTAATTTCTTTCAGAAATGTCTTATATTTTTTGATGTAACTGTCTTGTACATTTGTTTTTAACTCTATCCCTAAAAATTTGATGTAATTTATGTAATTTTATTGTAAATGGGATTAAAATTATTTTCTAATTGTTTGCCGTTATATATAAAAATACAATAGATTTTATTTATTTATTTGTTTGTTTGTTTGTTTGTTTAAGTAGGCTCCACGCCCAATGTGGGGTTTGAACTCATGACCTTGAGATCAAGACCTGAGCTGAGATCAACTGTCACACACTTAATCGACTGAGCCACCAAGGCACCCCTAGATATTTTATTACAAACTTTGCATTCTGTGTCAGTAACTCTCTATGAAGACAGCGATAGTATGTGGCAGACCCAAGATAGTAAATGAGGTCTTCTGATTACCAAAGTGCCTAGAAGGAGACTGTTCTAATCAATGAACAATTACTGTATTTGGATTCAAGTTTAACTAATTTATCAAGCAGTTAATATACATTAGTTCATGCAGTTTTCACATGTGCCCTGTTTTGTAAAGTTATTATTTCTGTTTTTTAAATTTTTTTTAAAGATTTATTTATTTATTCATTCAGAGAGAGCGAGAGAGAGGCAGAGGCACAGGCAGAGGGAGAAGCAGGCTCCATGCAGAAAGCGCGATGTGGGACTCGATCCCAGGTCTTCAGGATCACACCCCGGGCTGCAGGCGGCGCCAAACCGCTGCGCCACCGGGGCTGCCCTTTTTTTTTTTTTTTTTTTTAATTTTTTATCTCTGGTTTTAATAGACTCAGAGTAAAAGCCTTCACCTTCCCAGATGCTCAGAGTGTTTTCATAGGCTTTGACTTTCTTTGTCTCTCTTGGGTAGGCCTGGAGGAAGAGGCAAAGCACACGATGACCTCTCTCCTGCCCTTGGATGATCTGCCAGTGGCCCCCATCACAGGGAGAAGCTCCCTGAGCTACCCACTGCCAAGCTGTCAGGACTGTGACCTCATGAAACCTCTGCAGTGAGCTGCTGAGCCCAAGTTCTGCCCCTGGTGGGTGTACCTGCCATTTGTAGGCATTGGTGAGTGGGTAGCTGACAGGAAGGGCTAGGAGAGAGGAGAGGGAAGAAGACAAGACAATTAAGCACAGATTTACAACAATCTGACCTTTGGCAGGTCCTGGCAGAAAGAAAGTCTGACTGATCAGATGGGAGAAATATTGAACTATCAAGAACTGTGAATAGTTTTTATAGTTATGGAGGAAAAAAATAAGATGTGCAGGGCTTTGGCATACTAGCTTAATTAAGCATGGAGTTGTTGCACATTTAATTGATTCCCCCAACCCCACCCAAACCAGGGTTCTCAACTCTTTCTGGGGTTTCTAATCACTCAGGGAGCTTTTAAAGAATTCAATGCCAGGAATCCCCCAGCCCCTGACCAATTATACCAGAATCTCTGGGGGGTTGGGGCTAAAAGACTTTGAAAGCTGCTTAGGTGATTCAAGCATGCATAAAAGGTTGAGAAGTACAGCCCCAGATGAGTCCTTCCAGTTTCTCTGACAGAAAAGAGATTCACAAGGAAATACTCAGGACTGGGTCCCAGCATTCATGATTCTCCGCCATATCAGGAAACGGATGGTGGGTACAAGTCATGAGCATTCTTTCTTGAAGGCTTGAAAGCTGGGCTCACACCTCTGGTAAAGCTCTTACCACAAATTACTTGTGGACCTTATCTACCGTGTCTTGGCTGTGTGAAGTCTTGTAATGAGCAGAGTGACCCAGAGTTTCCCCAGGAAGTGGAACTACCCTGGGGGTGCCTACCTTGAAGCTGGTGGTGATGGAGGCATATTTGTTGTCAGCTGTCTCTGAATTCCCAATCAGGTAATCCCAGCTGGTGAACATCTTGAAGCTGAATGTGAAGTTAGCATTCTCCCCCTCACTTGCACTGCCCTGGGTATTGCTGGCCATCCTGTTGGGTGCATACCACTGTTGTTAGCCCAAGGGAACCTTGGCCTCAGCTGGTCTGGGGCACAGGTAGCAGACATCCAATGAGAGGAAAGAGCCAAAATGATTTGAACTGGGCTAATGATAGCCAGGGTGCCTTCCCCCCAGATTCAGAGTCCACAGCAAGTACACATGGTATTATCTGGACAATGAACCTGCAGGATAGAGGACACTTAACCCTGTTTTCTACCCTGACATTTGATTTTCTGTGGCTTGACTCATTTGCCAATGTTGTTTGAGAACTCCTTATGGGACTCTATTCTCAAATAGGAAGGTCTTCTTCTAATTAACCTATTTTCTTGAACAGAAGAGATATTTATTTTCTGATATAAATAGAGACAGTTGTTACTGCAACCATGTACATCCTTCTCTTAAGCAAACTTAAGAGTTTGAAAGTACCCTGAGCCTGCCTTGTTACCCACCCATTTTATCCTACCTATCTTCATTCTTGCTTTGTGCCCCTGGAATTCAGCCCAGTGGGAATCAGAATTCCAAGCAGGTCCTCTATCAGATACAATGAGTGCATGGGAGAGTTCGTGCCTTTCTAGCTTATATGTTGGCTTTTGGGATTTGCTATCCCACGGGATTAGTTGACTCAGTTATCTTTTTGGTTCATCAGGGAAACCTTCTGTATCCCTATACTTATCTGGAATAATAACAGGGAAAGTTGTAACAACATGAAGGCTAGGAATAAAACCAAGCCTATCTCCGCTGATAGATATGACTGGGTAGCCACCTATCACCCAGGGGTCACTATCATGTGCTGGGCAGGCTCTTGTGAACAGCAGCATTTCCTCTTCAGATGATGTGATAGAAAGGCCATGCTAGGCCTGCGCACTGCCCTTCCAGAGGTTCTAACTTCTGCTCTACTCTTCTGCAGACACAGCTACCTGTGCTCTTCTGGGAGGAGTGACCTCATGTGGCCTTGCGAAGGGTGGGTGGGCGCTGGTGATCAGGTTTGTGCAGGAGACTGTGCCCCCCACACTGCACCAGCCTTTGCTGATTGGGGTCCCCTGGCTTAGAAAAAGGCAATTCATGGGGCAGAGTTTTTCTTCAGAGAATATAAATGAAGACGCATAGACCTATTAAAAGGCCAAAGACCATGAAGACATGTAGAGTTGAGTGCCAGAGAGGACACCAAGGTTAATCACACCACATACATTCCTTTGCATTTTTTATTGATATCTTTATAAGTGGGGAGCTCAGTACACACATGTAAGCTAGAGTCACAGAGGAGCAGGAGAGTTTTTCTGAGGAAGCTGAGCTCTGGGGAAAGCAAAAACAAGACCTTGAAGACTTCTCCAGCCTTACTTTACCAGTTATATGCTCTCTCTCAAGCCACACTGGCTTTTTGCTACGTTTTAGAATTCACTAGGATATTTGCTGCCTCAGGGCCTTTGCACATGCTCTTCCTTGTGTAAACTACTGTTCCCCATACTTTCAGTGGGACTGGCCATTCTCAGCATCATGTAAAGATGTTTCTATTCCATTTCCCAAAACTTTCTGTATTACCCTGTTTATGTTTTTTTGTACCACATATGACAATCTATATCTGCTTTCTACGTTTCCTTGCTTTCTCTCTAAACCCCCACAGGAAGGTAAGGAGGCACACAGTGGCCATAGGAGTTGGCTGTTTGTGTGAAGAAAATTAAAAGCTTGTAAAAAAGATGGTCATACTTACGATCTAATGACAATCATCAGGCTGTAGCCGAACACGCTGACCCCCACCATAAAGTAAGCCATGGGCAACCTGTACCTCAGCCACCCGATAGTCCTCTGGTTGTTGTAGTAGCCATAGAAGAGAGCAGAATACTTGATGTAGCCCTGTGGGACAAGTCCAGATGTGCTGGGTTTGTATGCTGAGCGCAGATAGTCATCTGATACTTTTATTTTAATGGGGATTTCTTTCTCCGAGGTTTAATAGGATTTCTTTCTCAGAGGTTTAATAGGAGAAAGGAAGAGTTCTTGGGGTTCTTGCTCTTCCTCTTACTTTCCCCAGTTGCTCCAGAGTCTCTCCATGTCTCTATATCTCTCCTTCATTCTCTTTATTCTCCATTATACAGAACACATATAAGATACAGGATGGGGAGGAGATAACATTTGGGATACAATTAGGGATAAGGGTGTGTGTGTGTGTGTGTGTGTGTGTGTGTGTGTTGTCTGTGCACACATGCATAGAGAACTCCAAATTCTTTCCCCTCACACTTCCAGGGTCTTAATTTAACATTCTGAAAGTAGGTGGGAGTCTATGAGCTTTCTCAGTACAAAACTTACAAAGAAAACAATACATTATAAGGCTCACAATCTAATCTGAATCTCAAGTTTTGGGCATTTTTTGGTTTTTAGGCATAATTGGCTTGAAGTATAATCAGTACACTTTGAGGTATAATATTAGCTTAGAATTTTAGTACTTCTTTCACATCTTTGCTGAAGAGAAAACAAGATTATTCTGGCCTCACACAGATATGTAGTTGGAAAGGGTAGGCAAATCTTAATAGCTTTTTCATATACTTAAGGCTGTTGCTTTTTTGATATGATACTTAAACTCAGTAAATAAATAGCCATCTCTGAAATATTAGTTGTAATGTGGAATCTGAATCACATAATAAACTTTTCATGTCTTGTTACATTAAAATCCACTGTACTCTCCAAAATACTGGGTAATTAAACAGAGAAAAATACTAACTTTACAGTAGAGAATTCTGGCACACACTACTTTAACCAAATGGTCACTGTTAACATTGCCAGCAATAACACGTATCAACATAATGTGACCCCAGCTTGACACCCTGAGAAGGGCACGTTATCTTTGTGGTAGACTTCCCAATAATGTCTAACCTCACTATGATTATGACAGATCATCAGATAAACCCAAATTAAGGGACATTTTCCAAAACAACTGACCAGTACTCCTCAAAAGTGTCAAAGTCACCAAAAAATAGAATTGTCATAGATTTGGGGGAGACTAAGGAGACATGACCAATGCATTATGAGATTTTAAGCTGAGTCTTGGAATAGGAAAGGACTATCAGTGAAAAAAATTGATGAAATCCAAATAAATACATTTTAGTTAATAATATTGTACCAAGGTTAATTTCTTAGTTTTGATAATTGTTCCATGGGTATATAAGATGTTATCATAAAGTGAAGCTGGGTGAGGGAATATGGGAACTATGTACTATTTATGCAACTCTTCTGTAAGTCTAAAATTATCTCAGGATTTAAAGTTTTTAAAGCTTAATTGCTCTATCTTCTACTATCAAGATACAGGATCTTTTAACCACACATAATTTTGTAACATCATGTATTGGTCAAGTGGAAAATAATGGTTCTGTGAGTTATAAAAATCTGCCAAATGTTGATACACTTCTTATGCCATTATTTAAAAATCACATTTGTTAATATCTTCATTGATTTCATCAGAAAAGCATTTAACCATTGAGAAACTACCACTGTCATGGTGATGGATGTAAGTTTTCCAAAGCTTTTATTTTAGCTGAAAAAATTAAATTTTAGAGGCACCAGGTTGGCTCAGTCAGTGTAGCATATGACTCTTGATCTTGGGGTCATGAGTTCAAGCGCCACACTGAGTGTAGAGATTACTTTAAAAAAAAAACAAACACTAAGGGTGCCTGGCTGGTTCAGTTGGTGGAGCACACAACTCTTGATCTCGCAGTTGTGAGTTCGTGCCCTCTTTGGGTGTAGAGATGACTTAAAAAACACGTAAAAAAAAGAGAGAGAAAGAAATATTTATCATTGGTGACAGCAGCAATAACAACAACAACAAAACAGAGGATTATTGTTGAATAAATTCAGTTTGCTTTGGGTAGGTAGGATGTGTTTTCAAAGGGGCCCTTGAGCGAAAATAAAGAATAAAAAATCCTTAGAGGTAGTCCATAGTAGTAGTAGTAGTATATACTACTTAGAAGTATAGTAGCTATTTGGAACATCCTTATTCCAAATGACTTGGAAAAATATTCCCACTCACTTCCACACATACCTGAAAAGTCTTGAACTTGACTATGAGTGTGATGGATGACAGCAGCAATGATTTGTTGTCTGAACCATCACAGCCTGGCCTCCCAGCCAAAGGAACTCCTTGGAGCTATGGACCAAGCCCCATAAAGGCATGGGAGTCAGGGAACTCAAAAGAGGGAGAGGGGTGTCCCAGGCTGTGTTCCGAACAAAAGCAGGAAGGCACTGGTATGTGATTCACTCAGGGACTTCCCCCAAACTTGATAAATATTAGAACATAAAGTCTGAGATAGAAATGGAGTGGGAGAGGGAGGGAGCAACCACGTGGCAAACAGTTCTTTCATAAACCTGACTCAAAACACTGAATTTTATTCTGTTGGGAATGGGAATAAATGAATACCAAAGTAGGAAAGTGACAGGGTCCAGTTTGCATTTCAGAAAGATCACTCTGGCAGCAGAAGGAATGGAGATTTTTTAGGAGCCAAGCCAAAGCAGAAAGCAGAAGATTCTAACATGTCCTGGCATGGTGGGGACATTATTCAAATAAGAGGCAAGAGAGGTAGAGAAATGGGCACCTAGTCAAGACAGAGTTAGTGGTTGACTGGTTGTTGTGGGAGGGAGGGTGGTAGTGAGGAGAGGGAGAAGTGTAGAATGACTTTCAGGTTTCACATTTGAATGATTGGGTGAATGGTGGTTCCAATAAAGAAGATGGGAAAAAACAATGTGGATTTGGCTGGGTAGATGTTGAATTTGAGGAACAGTTAGGATATTCAGTTGAGGATGCCATGCAAAGCTTGGGAATGGCTGAACTCTCAATAGCCCTGGAGTCTTAATGTGGGTATGGCAGAGAAAACCATCCTGTAGGATCACTTACATGGATCTGGTAGAGAGAAGGGAGCAGGGTGTGTGGCTGCAGAAAGGACCCATGAAAGGGACTTAGGAGGACATGGTTGGCTAGCTCATTTTGCATAGTGGGGAATGTGAGTTAAGCACTGGTTTTCCAATGTCTAAATGCAATATTTCACATTTATCCACACAAATGTTAGGCCTTGCAATCACATAATAGGAGTGCATTGGCATATTAGTGATGGTACCTCAAAATCCCAAAGGACAGAAAAATCCATGGCTTTTTCTTCCTCAGCCCGAGGCACCGTCTTTCTGGGAATACTCCCATAGGGCACACCCATCAGAACCTTGTGTAGGGACAGAAAGATAGGATGATGCGTGGAGAAGATACAAACACTTCTTTCCTTCGAAGAACGTGTCCTGCTGTTTATTCAGTTGTATTTTTTTTATTCAGTTGTATTTTTGTCCTGTAATGCTTATGACGTTCCTCACAGAAATCTTCTAATTTGTTATATTTTCCTTGGAAAATATCCCAGGCCAATACTCTGGAGACTTGGGATCTCATTCACTACAAACTTACTGTGTGACTTCACACAAGTTGCTTATTCCTCTTTCATCTCTCAATTATCATCTATAGATAGGAATGCACCTACATCTGTAATAAAATTATATCTGGGAGAATAGCGAGGAGTACTATTTAAATGCAAGTTTTTAAAAAAAGTATATTATGATAAATGCATTCTCTCTTTTTTTTCAGGGTAAAAAAAACATACTAAGATATTAATTCTCCACTGACTTTTTTTTTTTTTTTTTTTTTTTTTTTTTTTTTTTTTTTATAAATTAATTTTTATTGGTGTTCAATTTACCAACATACAGAATAACACCCAGTGCTCATCCCGTTAAGTGTACCCCTCAGTGCCCATCACCCATTCACCCCCACCCCCCGCCCTCCTCCCCCTCCACCACCCCTAGTTCATTTCCCAGAGTTAGAAGTCTTTATGTTCTGTCTCCCTTTCTGATATTTCTCACACATTTCTTCTCCTTCCCTTATATTCCCTTTCACTATTATTCATATTCCCCAAATGAATGAAAACATACACTGTTTGTCCTTCTCCGGTTACTGTGGCCAAGTTCAAAAAGGGTGTTGCCTGAGTTCTCCTCTAGGATTTTGATGGAATCTTGTCTCACATTTAGATCTTTCATCTATTTTGAGTTTATCTTTGTGTATGGTGCAAGAGAGTGGTCCAGTTTCATTCTTCTGCATGTGGATGTCCAATTTTCCCAGCACCATTTATTGAAGAGACTGTCTTTCTTCCAGTGGATCGTCTTTCCTCCTTTATCGTATATTAGTTGACCATAAAGTTCAGGGTCCACTTCTGGGTTCTCTGTTCTGTTCCATTGATCTATATGTCTGTTTTTGTGCCAGTACCACACTGTCTTGATGAACACAGCTTTGTAGTACAACCTGAAATCTGGCATTGTGATGCCCCCAGATATGGTTTTCTTTTTTAAAATTCCCCTGGCTGTTTGGGGTCTTTTCTGATTCCACACAAATCTTAAAATAATTTGTTCTAAGTCTCTGAAGAAAGTCCATGGTATTTTGATAGGGATTGCATTATACGTGTAAATTGCCCTGGGTAACATTGACATTTTCACAATATTAATTCTGCCAATCCATGAGCATGGAATATTTTTCCATCTCTTTGTGTCTTCCTCAATTTCTTTCAGAAGTGTTCTATAGTTTTTAGGGTATATTTTGAGAACCATTTGAATGGTAGATGGTTCTCCAACCTTTTATTTTCAGGTTGTAGGTGTCCTTCTAAAATGAGTCTCTTGTAGACAGCAAATAGATGGGTCCTGCTTTTTTATCCAGTCTGAAACCCTGCGCCTTTTGATGGGGTCATTAAGCCCATTCACATTCAGAGTTACTATTGACAGATATGAGTTTAGTGTCATCATGATATCTATTTAGTCCTTGTTTTTGTGGGTTGTTCCACTGAACTTCTTCTTAAAGGGGAATTTTAAGAGTCCCCCTTAAAATTTCTTGCAGAGCTGGTTTGGAGGTCACATATTCTTTCAGTTCCTGCCTGTCTTGGAAGCTCTTTATCTCTCCTTCCATTTTGAATGAGAGCCTTGCTGGATAAAGTATTCTTGGTTGCATGTTCTTCTCATTTAGGACCCTGAATATATCCTGCCAGCCCTTTCTGGCCTGCCAGGTCTCTGTGGAGAGGTCTGCTGTTACCCTAATATTCCTCCCCATGAAAGTCAGGGACTTCTTGTCTCTTGCTGCTTTAAGGATCTTCTCTTTATCTTTGGAATTTGCAAGCTGCACTATTAAATGTCGAGGTGTTGAACGGTTTTTATTGATTTTAGGGGGGGATCTCTCTATTTCCTGGATCTGAATGCCTGTTTCCCTTCCCAGATTGGGAAAGTTTTCAGCTAGGATTTGTTCAAATACATATTCTGGCCCTCTGGCCCTTTCGGCGCCCTCGGGAACCCCAATTAAACGTAGGTTTTTCTTCCTTAGACTGTCATTTATTTGCCTTAATCTGTCTTCATGGTCCCTTAATTGACTGTCTCTTTTTTCCTCAGTTTCCCTCTTTGCCATTAACTTGTCTTCTATGTCACTCACTCGTTCTTCCACCTCGTTAACTCTCGTCGTTAGGACTTCTAGTTTGGATTGCATCTCATTCAATTGATTTTTAATTTCTGCCTGATTGGATCTAAATTCTGCAGTCATGAAGTCTCGTGAGTCCTTAATGCTTTTTTCTAGAGCCAGCAGTAGCTGTAGAATAGTGCTTCTGAATTGGCTTTCTGACATTGAAGTGTAATCCAGATTTTGTAACTCTGTGGGAGAGAGGGCTGTTTCTGATTCTTTCTTTTGAGGTGAGGTTTTCCTTCTAGTCATTTTGCTCAGTGCAGAGTGGCCAAAAACAAGTTGTATTGGAACACGGGGGAGTATCACTGGTCCGTCCAGCTGGTCTTCTGGGGGAGGGGCCTGCTGTGCTGATTCTCAGGTGTTAGCACTTGGGGGAGCTGCTCTGCCCCTGCCTGCTGCCGGGCTCAGCGGGGGTTGTTTACCCCGTGGGGCCCCAGGAGGAACAGCCGCAGTTGCTATGGCAACTCTGGAAGCCTGGATTCAGCCTCTGCAGGAACTACGGGGCTCGGGGCTCTCGGCTCTTCGTCCGCAGGGCCTGGAGGCTCCGGGGCGGGGCCGCTGATCTGCTCAGCTCGGGGCAGGAGCGTCCTCGCTGTCCTGGGCCCTCCCGGCCTCTGCCTGTCCCGGGGGAGGCCGGATCCTGGGCTGTGTCCCGGCGCCCTGTGCTCCGGGGCCTGCGCTGTGGGATTCGCGCTCCCGCCCCGCAGCCCCCTCCGCGGAGCCGCCGCCCGAGCCCCTCCGAGCTGCTCCGGCCCCGCCGTGCGCGCTGCAGCCCTTAGGGAGCTCGGCGCACTCTCCCGGGGCGCAGGTGTCTGTTAGTGTCCCCGGGAGCCCGAGGGCATCCCCGCCCTCCTGGGTCCTGCTCCAACTCCCTGCGAGCCCCTTTCCGCCCGGGAAGGTTGGTGCAGCTCCTGCTCCTCCGGGACGGGGCTCTCCTGTCCTGGGGACACTCGCCCCGGCCTCAGCCCGGCTCCTCGCGGGGCCCCTCCCCCTCGGAGGCCTTTTGTTCCTTTATTTCTCTTTCCCCGTCTTCCTACCTGGATAGAAGCGCGAACTCCTCTCACTGTAGCATTCCAGCTGGTCTCTCTTTACATCTCAGGCCGAATTCGTAGATTTTCAGGATGGTTTGAAGGTTATCTAGGTAATTTGGTGGGGACAGGCGATTTGGGGACCCTGCTCTTCCGCCATCTTGCCCCTCCCCCCTCCACTGACTTTTTAAAAGATTTTATTTACTTATTGGACAGAGAGCACAAACGAGAAGCAGCAGGCAGAGGGAGAAGGAGAAGCAGGCTTCTCACTAAGCAAGGAGCCCAATGTAGGGTTTGATCTCAGGACCCTGGGATCATGACCTGAACTGAAGGCAGATTTTTAACCAACTGAGCCATCCAGGAGCCCCAATCTCCACTGATCTTAAAGTAAAACAAAAGATAGAAAAATGTAGGGTTCACTTCTTAATTTAGAAACACAAGTATTAAAAAAAAAAAGAAAAGAAACACAAGTATTTTGAGTGCCCCTGTCCTGTGTGTTTGGCTGGATTGGCCTAGGGGACTGGAGATGCCCCTCCCCACCTATGGGGTGCAGGGGCTAGCTGAAATCCTGGGTGGACCACCAGGTATGTGTGGCTGAGCAGGTGACCTCTCTGGGGAAGAATTGGCATTGTCCTTGCCTGAAGTGTGAGAAATGTGAAAAGATGCTGACATTAGGGAGCCATATTGAGCATGAAGGCAAGCCCTACTGCAATCATCCCTGCTATGCCACCATGTTTGACCCAAAGGCTTTGGCTGGGGTGGAGTTGAGAGTCACACTTTCAGGGAAACCCAGGTTCTGGAAACAATATCCCTGGCTGCCCATTAGACCACTGCCCTTCTGGCTGATTCCCGGCCTTATCCCCAGGCACCTGGGCCTCCTCTGTAGACTCCCATGCTCTCAGTAAAGCCGAACACTCAGAAAAAAGGAAAAAAAAAGAACACAAGTATTTTGGTTCCATTCTTTGTCCCGAACTATTTGGGCAAAGGATGGGAGTATAGAATTTAAAATAAATGACTGATTCTTTGTAAAATGGAGTGCATTTGATTAATATAAATGAGAATGGTGGTCATGATAAGCCTTAACACTATCTAAAGATATAAGAAGCTCTTGGCTTACCTCTGGGATGATAACTAGACCAAATATTAAGCCAAAAAGGACAAGGTTAACTCCATACATCCATCGGAGAAAGATGAAATATGATGCCACTGAAGAACCAAAATGACCTGGCATAAGAAAAGATGGCAGGGTTTAAACCTTATGGAAAGAGGAAGGTAGCAGTACTGACTACTTTATGTATGTGATGGATTCAGTTTTCACAACAATCTGTGGAATGGATATTTCAGATAAATAACCTGAGGCTCTGTGGTGTTAACCAATCTATCTATGCTCTCACAATCAGGAAATGAAGAAACAAAATTTAAATCTTGGTCTGACTAGTTCAAAGTCCATTCTGTTTTCTAATACAACCTATGAAATAACCTGATCAGTTGGTCAGGAACACAATGCAAGCCCTTGGAAACTCTTTTATAAACCAGTTAAAAATGGTGACACCAGAACACTCACTTTCAATGTCCTTGATCTTCATTTCCCAGGGTATACACTGAGTCTTGAAATTATCGAAGTCTCTCTTAAACTTGACCCACTTCTGAAATTAAACAGATAATACACTCAGTTCATTAACAACCTGCTTTGGGGCCTGGAGGAACACATTGGAGGAACATGTTAATGCTGTCAACACCAAAGTCAGGAGCAGAGTGAGAGAGAAGCCAGGGCAGCATAATGCCTTGTCTTTGTCTGCAGTGCTGATAAAAATTCATGTTTAGATAGTTTATATATGAACTTAGGAATTGTATATATAATTTATGTTGGGGGATCAAGTTGGGTTAGCAACCTCTGATACAACATTTTTTTTTTATCTTAAAACAAAAATTCGGGCACCTGGGTGGCTCAGTGGTTGAGCGTCTGCCTTTGGCTAAGGTCATGATCCCAGGGTCTTGGGATCGAGTCCTACACTGGGCTCCCTACAGGGAGTCTGCTTCTTTCTCTGCCTAGGTCTCTGCCTCTCTTTCTGTGTCTCTCATGAATAAATAAATAAAATCTTTAAAAAACCAAAAATTCAAGGGGAAAAAGAAATCTCACGACCTTTACATCCACGTTTGGCAGACAGCTAAGTGCCCAAATCTGATAGGAACTGTATTCAACTGCAGTGCTGGTGGAATTGGAAGAACCTCAACCCATGGTTTCCATTCTCCTAGTGAAACAACAGCTTGTTTTTTTTTGTAGTTGTTGTGTTGTTTTTAATTTTTTTCTGTAAATAGGAAGGCATTTTGCTCCTTTCCATGGTCTGTTCCCAGCTCCAACACTTAGAGTTTATATCATTCAGAAGCCTGAGTAGCTGTCTGCCTGCTGATTGGATGAAAATCTGTCAATTCTCAAGGGGCTGCTCTCCAACAACCTCACTCTCTGGAAATAAATCCATTTGTAATTAAAAAATAAAAAACTCATTTGGTTGGATAAAAACAGTGGAAAAGAGATAGTAGAGAGGAGATCCTAAGGTCAGTTTCTATTATTACAAAGATCACCTAAGAACTTATTCATAAAAGGAGTTTTCCCATGTTTAAATTCACTAAAGAATCAAAAGGAAAATTTATCTGAAGGAATCTGATGTGTTTCCAGACCTGCAGGCTTTGAATGTATCCTGATGGGATGATTGCTGCACAAAGAAGGAAGTTAGCTGTTGAAGAGGGTGGTGGTCACAGATGCAACAGAGAGGAGGAGCCCATGAGCCAATGCCTGGTTGATAATAATGGCAAAGGTATCCCTAAAACAGGAAGGGATGTGGAGAATAGCAGGTGGTGGTCATTGGGCATTCCAGTCCCACTGCTTTGTTTACCTTCCCTAGCTCTGATTCCATGCTCAAAATTTATTTTTGGCATATTAGGCTTTCTGTGTAAGACTGTCTATAAGGAAAGCATTGCCCATCACCTGGGCTGTCAGTATTTTGGTTTCTATGACAGTGATTTGTGGTTGCAAGTTGATAGATCGGAAATGGGATTGTGGTTTAGCTACCCACATAAGTAACTCTACTATCAGAAGTAAAAGGCACTGCTGATGTGAAGTCTTCACATTTCCAGTTCTCTTATCAGTTATTTCTCCTTGTAAATTAATAATCCAGCATCTGGTTTTACCTATCAGTCTCAGAAGCTTTATTAATATGAATCCTCCCCGGAGAGATGGATCCCCTGTCAGGGTGCTGATAAAATCAGTACAGAATATACACTTGCAAGGCTGAGGGGCAAGACGGGTAATGATCATTGCTAAGGGAGGCCCCCGGGGACAGTCTCCAAGTTAACTTAGTCGATCACTTGGCAACCATCTGATAGCTCCTCAAGGCTGTGGGCATCTTGGCCTGAAAAGTGATGCCCTGGAGGTGGGGCAGAGGACAAGAAGGCCATGGTGAAGCTCCATATTGTAGCTCTTATATCTCATTAGTTTAGAGAATCAGAAGACTGGGATGGGATGTGGCCAGGAGAAGACACCCCCTCCCACAACCCTTCCTCAGAGCCACATGAAATGGTAGCTGTGGTCCAAGGACTGGGATATTATATGAGAATGTTGTCTTGTTCTCCAGCTGGATACAGAAAAAGGATTTCAAATAGTGGATGAACAAGACATGGACAAGCTACACATTCTGTGGATGAAATCCAGATCTGAATGACTAAGACAGCCACTGAGGTCTGAGAAATAGTATTGCAGAACAAGGAAAAGGGGATATGACTCTTTGGAATTTTTGACAAGCATTTAGGTCCTCATAACTCATGTTTTGAGAAATTATTCAGCATTCTTAATAGGATACAAGAAATATGGTTTCTAGGTAAAAGAGAACATTTGGGATTTTAAAAAGAATATAAGTAGAGCATGGAAGGGTTCAAGGTAGCTAAAAGCTCAGCAACATCAAAGGAAAATAAGCATTATAGGTAATAAAGATTATAATTGAAACAGAAGAGAATGGATTCAATGATATTGGGAATAAACCTGAGAAATTTCTGAGAATGCAAAGAGAGAAAACAAAGAATTTTAAATAATGAAGGAAGATAAACACAGAAGAGGATCAACAGCCATCCTTCTCCTAAGGAAGAAGCTAGAACTATTTGCTAAACAGAATCATTTATTAAAGATATATTTGAAGAGCACATTCCTCATTTGGAGCAAAAAAAAAACCCTAAGTGTGCAGTTCGGTTGTAGTTTCTAGATAAAATTAATAAAATGACACATAGATTGCTGTCAGGCAAGTCAACCTGAAAAAAAAGGTATTGGGAATAAAAAAGACTCAAATCCAACATGTACAGAAAGTAATTCCTCAAATTATGGGAACACCATCTGCAACTTTTTGATGATACATATGATCTTAATGAAATGATTGAGTTTTGGCAAGAATATGAAATATTCAAATGGCCCCAAGAAAAAGTTAAAACTCAAATGAACCAATGAACATGGAATCCATGAAAAAACTTTCAAGGTGTTATATAAAAAATGGATGATTTATCAAACCATGTGTCCTGATTTGGGGCTTGGGAAATAAGATCTCAGTGCTTTAATCTCATCAGTTTTGTTAGTTTATAGTTCTTCACCAGAGAGGAAGTGAGTCTCAAATACACTGATGCTCTCACAGATAAATGTAGAGAAATTGACAGGAGACAGTTGGTTTGCATTCCTAGACAAATCAGTTGCTCAGCCGGACCTCACACTGAGGATTCTGGGGGAGCTGGACACTGATGCAGAGGCTGGGCAGGTGCCTGTGATGGTCATCCGGGTTCAGAGGGTGAACAAGCCCTCCTGAGGGATTGCTGCCTCTCTACCACCCACCTTAGCCACCAGCATCCTATAGGCATAGAGTCGCTTGCCTTTCCCCTTTCCCAAGGCTCCTTCATACTTCTCCACAAATTCTTGGGCCTCCCTGGTTAGGAAAAAAAAAGGAAGTTAGAGGGAGAACTTCAATTAACACCAGACCAAAAGAAATCTGAACTATGAGAGCATATATGTTGCTAAAAGTCTTTTTTTTTCCTCTCTAAAAGTCTTAAGTGTTTTCATACCCCTAGTTAGAATATAAGCTCCATGAAGGCAGGGCATTTTGTCTGTTTTGTTCATTGAAGTTTCCTAAATGCTAAGAATGGTGCTTAGTACATGGCAGGCACCTCTGGTGACATGCCCCTGAATGGCAAAAGGGACTTTGCAGATACAATTAAGATTCCAGAATTTAAAATGGGAGATTATCCTGGATTTTCTGGAAGGGCCCAGAGTAATCACATGATCACATGAGCCCTTAAACACAGAAGAAGAAGAAGAAGAAGAAGAAGAAGAAGAAGAAGAAGAAGAAAAGAAGAAGAAGAAGAAGAAGAAGAAGAAGAAGAAAAGAAAAGAAAGAAAAGGAAGGAAGGAAGAAAGAAAGAAAGAAAAGAAAGAAAGAAAAAAAAGAAAGAAAAAAAAAAGAAAGAAAGAAAGAAGAAAGGGAAATCAGAGAAATTAAAAGCAAGAGATTTCTTGACCCTCTGTTGCTGGGGGCCCTCAAGAGGAAACCAACAGAAGGAAGTGAATTCTGCCAAAATCCAGCAAGCTTGGAAGAAGACCTCTAGCCCCACATGGGAACCTCAGCCTTGCGAACACCTTGATTTTAGCTGAGTGAGACCCTGAGCAGAGAATCCAGCCAGGCCACCCCGGACTTCTGACCAGCAGCACTGTGAACGGAGAAGTATTATCTGTTTTTTTTTTAAAGATTTTATTTATTGTTCATGATAGACATAGAGAGAGAGGCAGAGGGAGAAGCAGGCTCCTGGCGGGGAGCCCGATGTGGGACTCCATCCCAGGACCCCAGGATCACACCCTGAGCAGAAGGCAGACGCTCAACCCAGGTGGCCCGAGAAGTATCGCCTTAAATAGTTACCTTTGTGGCAATTTGTTGCAGCAGCAATAGAAACAAACACAGCAAAACAGATGAAGGGGATTAAGTGGTAAAAAATTTCAGTTATAAAATAAATAAGTCACAGAGATGTAAAGTGCAGTCTAGGGAATATAGTCAATAATATTGTAATAACGTTGTATGGTGACAGATGGTAGCTAGACTTATCGTGGTGAGCACTGTGTCATGTATATACACATCGAATCATGCTGTTGTACACCTGAAACGAATATAATATTGTATGTCAACTCTACTTCAGTAAAAAAAAAAAGAAAGAAAATGAATACAGCATTCAGTAGACATTTGTGGACTGCATGAATGTTGAGTGAGGGAGTGAATCTCCACGGAAGGTTGGATGAGAAATCCACGGATCAGTTTGTCTATTAAGTATTCTGGGGAGTGTGCTGGGGCTGGTGAGAACTGGCTCCTGAGAACCCAGTGTTAAATATTCAGGAACTTGGCCATCCAGCTGTTAAACTGTTGGTAGCTTGAAATTGGCCACGGTGGGAGTATTTAGACCGTGGAAATCAGCAAATGCTGCAAATCTGGGCCTTTCCATCCCAGCCCCCAGACAGCCAGTTTTTCAGCACTGGATAGAGCCACACAAATGGAGGAGGAACGAAGTCCATCTCAGCGTGGCCGGAAGGCGGCGTTGTGGAGCTGTGTTGTGTGTCTAGCTGATGCAGCTGCGCCCCCACCATTTGCTGTACAATACCTATCTCACCTCCAAAGTGCAAGTGCAGGCAGACGACAAGAGTCAAAGTCACATTCTAACCTCAGGTGAATCTTGAAGCTGGTTTTATTCGGATATCTCCATATTAATAAGGCTGACTGTCTGAAGCTGGTTTTATTCGGATGTCTCCATATTAATCAGGCTGACTGTCTAGCTCTTGAGCCTGGGGTGAAAAACTGGTCTGTATGGGATTAAGGCTCCTTAATGAGATCAGCTCCCTGTTCCCCCCTGAGGCAGGACATGTCCTGGCAGTTAGTTATCTGTGGCTACCAACTTAGCCATCACACAAAAAAATGTTTTCATGAAATTTGTATTTTTGTTCTTTTCCTGTATTTTATATGTGAGCAGAGGCTCATAAGCACTTAGAGTTTGTGGGTGTAAATGTGCCAGGTCTTGGGGCACCTGAGTGGCTCAGTCAGTTAAGAGTCTGACTCTTGGTTTTGGCTCAGGCAGTGATCTCAGAGGCCATGGGATGGAACCCCACCTCATCGGGCTCTGTGCTCAATGGGGAGTCTGCTTGGAGATTCTCTTCCTCTGTCCCTCACCCCAGTCTCTCTCTCTAGAATAAAGAAATAAATCTTTAAATGTGCCAGCTTTTAAGATTTGGGGACTTCAATTGAGAATTCTTGAAAGTAAGAGCCAGCTCTTGTTTCTGAGCCATTGGGCTGGACAGCAAATGCTTCTTTTCTTGATGTCCAAATTCTGTGTCTAGATGCCCAGATCCCTCAGGAGAACAGAGTGCTGTGCCCACTACTGGATGCAAATCCCAAGGACCATTCACTATGAAAAGCTGCCCTTGTTTAAGAATTTTGGTGGGGGTCCTGGGTGGCTCAGTGGTTGAACGTCTGCCTTTGCCTCAGGTTATGATTTTTGCAGCAAGCTCCTTTTTTTTAAAATTTTTTTTATTTATTTATGATAGTCACAGAGAGAGAGAGAGAGGCAGAGACATAGGCAGAGGGAGAAGCAGGCTCCATGCACCGGGAGCCTGACGTGGGATTCGATCCCGGGTCTCCAGAATTGCGCCCTGGGCCAAAGGCAGGCGCCAAACCGCTGCACCACCCAGGGATCCCTGCAAGCTCCTTTTTAAACATGTTGCCTATAATCCAGAGAGTATTTGGTTTATGGAAACCCTGGCTCCTGCCCTGTACTTCCTTTTTTTTTTTAATTTTTATTTATTTATGATAGTCACACACACACACACAGAGAGAGAGAGAGAGAGAGACAGAGACAGAGGCAGAGGCAGAGACACAGGCAGAGGGAGAAGCAGGCTCCATGCACCGGGAGCCCGACGTGGGATTCGATCCCGGGTCTCCAGGATCAGCCCTGGGCCAAAGGCAGGCGCTAAACCACTGCGCCACCCAGGGATCCCCCCTTTTTCTTTTTTAAGATTTTATTTATTCTGAAAGAGAGAGAGAGAGAGAGAGAGAGAGAGAGAGAGGCAGAGACACAGGTAGAGGGAGAAGCAGGCTCCATACAGGAAGCCCCACGTGGGACTTGATCCCAGGTCTCCAGGATCACACCCCGGGCTGCAGGAGATGCTAAACCGCTGCGCCACTGGGGCTGTCCTGCCCTGTACTTCCTGATGTAAATCTTACTTCTGTCAGGTGCTTCTGTTCCCCCTTGTCACCAAGTGTCCTTTGAAAAGGGAACTTCCTGTAAACTTGCCTCTCTTTTTTCCTCATACCAGATGGTGTGTGATAAATGCAGTGAAATAGCAAAAGAGGAAGGATCTGTTGTTTTGAGGAAGCTTTTAGGGGTGTGGATCTCAAGTTCACTTTTGGTAGGTGATGATTAACCCCTTAGGCCCCTCCAGCACTCAGCAGAGGAAGAAGTTATTGAAGAAAGGGCTTTCATGTGCAGGCACACCACAGACAGCACTTCAGAATCCCCCCACATTTGCTTCCTGGAAGATCCTTCTTGTGAATAAAATGGCCCAAACCAGTTTGGAAAACACGAATCAGGGTGGCTAGCCATGGCTTCTGGGAGGGAAGGAGGTATATTGTATGGCTTTTAGTGCCAGAGCGCAGGCAGGATTCTGTGGCAGTTTTCATCTAGAAATGAGGGTGATATGAGAATCAAGTGTGTGAATGCATGCAGCGTGAGTATAGCGACTTCATTTGACAGCCAGTCGCCCTTTCCCCTTCTGAGGAAGCAGTAGCTCCTAGGGTGGGCAGCTGGTAAGACTCTGCTAGTTCAGGGGCTTAGTGTGAGGAGGCCTCTGCCTCCCCAGGTGCCTGGACAAGGGGGTTGGTAACATGATCTTTCACAACAGGAATGCTCTGAAGTTGACCCGTGGCATCTCTCAGAAACATTATATGCTTCCAAAAACTCCTCCCTGGTGAAGGCATTCAGATTCGAATCACACTTAATTTAGAGATTTGAGGTAAAAATAGACACAGGGTAGCTCTGTGTGTGATGGCATCCTCACAGAATGTTGCTGTCCCATACAGGACACTACGAGAGAGAATCGTAGCCAGCCTGAAATCTAGAAGACACATGGAAGGGGGAAGGAAGCATTGATTGCTAAAAGGAGGTGGCTAGGGGCTGGAGGTGGCCACAGGTTGAAGGTGGTCTGGGCCATGCTGGTTTGGCATCTCCTTTTGTCCCCAGGCAACTTCCACTTTTAGTTGTGGAGACAATGGCCAAATAAATGCTGAGTTCACACTAAATAGAAATTCAGATCAGGGATCCCTGGGTGGTACAGAGGTTCAGCACCTGCCTTTGGCCCAGGGCGTGATCCTGGAGACCCAGGATCGAATCCCGCGTCGGGCTCCCAGTGCATGGAGCCTGCTTCTCCCTCTGCCTGTGTCTCTGCCTCTCTCTCTCTCTCTCTGTGTGTGACTATCATAAATAAATAAAAATTTTTAAAAAAATTCAGATCAGCCAGGTGAGGCATCTGCTCTAGAGACCTCACTGAATCAACCCAAGGGCAGTGAGGCTAACCAAGCATAGGTTGTAGTTCAAAATACGTTAGCAAATTATTCTTCTTCCCTTTAAAATGGAGAACTGGGTACTCGGGTGGCTCAGTTGGTTAACTGTCTGACTCTTGACAGAGTCAAAGCCTGACTGCATCAGGCTCCTTGCTCAGCATGGAGTTTGCTTGTCCTTGTCCCTCCACTTCTCTCTTGCTCTCTCTCTTTCTCAAATAAATAAATAAATAAATAAATAAATAAATAAAATCTTAAAAAAAAATGGAGAACCAAATTCTCCTCCCCTTGCATGTGGGCCAGACTTAGTGACTTGTTTCCAATGAATAGAAAGTGGTAGA